ACTTATGTGTTTCTCTATAAATTCACTTAAAACCACTTGAAATGATTATTTGGAAAAGTGATTTTTTATAGAAGCATTTTTTGGCCTATCAAGAATCACTCTCAAATGAGATGGAATATATATGACAAAAGTAAAATAGAAATAGAATCAGGCCCAAAAAAACTAAAAACCATTGTTGACCAAAAAAGTAAAGAAATATTTAGTTATATACTCATTCTTAGCACTAAAACTATAAATAAACCCTACGCCATTTAATTTATATAAACAAACAAAAAAAAAAAACCCCAAAAAATGATAGCTGACCATATTGAGGGTTTAGAGATTTTTTATAATTTGGACTCCTTTATTGGGTATAATAGTGATCTCTCAAAAGTAAACATGGGTTAAGAACTTGACCAATTTCAGCCGGGCTCCGATTTCGGTTTATGTCATAAAAAAAAACCCAGTCCAAGCTAAACCGGATCAGCTGTATTAAATATATGGGGATGCTTTTCTAAGTATCGAATCCTTTAAGCCCAACTCTCCTTCCGACCATTTTAGTTAGCCCAATTTTCCTAAACTACCCAAGCAGCAGCTCAATTTCCTTAGCCTTATTCACGAATTAACCCGAGTCTGTTGCGGGAGAAGGACATCAAAATGACGATCTCAAGTGAATTTTGCAGCTACAACACCAAAACGATGTCGTTTTCCCCCACAACTATATAGGGTTGGATTTTCCTAATTTGTTTTTAATTGTTCGTAACATTATTCAAGTGGATCCAATCCAATAATCAAAAAACACACACACTCAAACACAATTTGCCCAAAGCCATCACCTTGTCCGTAAAATTCCCAGATTCTCTCCCAGAGTGTAGCAGCAGCAATTACCAAATCTCAATCTCAATCCCAATTTCCCAAAATCCCAATCCTCCTCCCAGAGCCTAACCATGAAATTCAAGCAAACCCATTAACACCCCAACCAAAACACCAATTTTCTCCATCGTCATCTTCCTCTCATTGAATTGGAATTTGGCTTCTTCAAAAACCAATCCAAAACCCATGGCAGGGTCTTCCCTCATGGAAAACCTCTTCCAGCGCACACTGGAGGACCTGATCAAGGGCCTCCGTCTCCAACTCATCGGCGAGTCCGCCTTCCTTTCCAAGGCCATAGACGAAATCCGCCGCGAGGTCAAGTCCACAGACTCAGACACCAAGGCCAACGCCCTCCACAAACTCACCTACCTCTCCTCTCTCCACTTCTACGACATGTCGTTCGCCGCATTCCACGTCGTCGAGCTCCTCTCCTCCACTCGCTTTTCCCACAAGAAGATTGCCTACCACGCCGCCTCCCACTCCTTCACCGACGACACGCCCGTCCTCGTCCTCATCACCAACCAGCTCCGCAAGGACCTCACCAGCACCAACGAGCTCGAGGTAAGCTTGGCACTTGAATGCCTCTCCAGAATTGCTACCGTAGATCTTGCTAGAGATTTGACCCCCGAGATATTCACCTTGCTAGCTAGTAGTAAAGTTTTTGTGAAAAAGAAAGCGATCAGTGTGCTTTTGAGGGTGTTTGACAAATATCCGGATGCTGTCAGGGTGTGCTTCAAGCGTTTGGTTGAAAATTTAGAGAGTTCAGAGTCGCAGGTTGTGTCTGTGGCTGTTGGGGTGTTTTGTGAGCTTGCTTTAAGAGAGCCCAGATCGTATCTTCCGTTGGCGCCTGAGTTCTATAAGATCTTGGTTGATTCTAGGAACAATTGGATTTTGATTAAGGTGTTAAAGATATTTGCAAAATTGGCTCCTTTAGAGCCTAGGTTGGCTAATAGAGTTGTTGAGCCGGTTTGTGAGCATATCAGGAGGACTGGGGCCAAATCATTGTTGTTTGAGTGTATTAGGACTGTGGTGACCAGTTTGAGTGATTATGAATCTGCAGTGAAGCTTGTTGTTGTGAAGATTCGGGAAATGCTGGTTGATGATGATCCGAATCTTAAGTATCTCGCATTGCAGGCGCTTTCAGTGGTTGCCCCAAAGCATTTGTGGGCAGTGTTGGAGAATAAGGAGGTTGTGATTAAGTCCTTGAGTGATGTGGATCCAAATATTAAACTGGAGTCTTTGCGTCTTGTTATGGCAATGGTGTCTGAGAGTAATGTGGCTGAAATTTGCAGGGTTTTGGTAAATTATGCCTTAAAATCTGACCCCGAGTTTTGCAATGAGATTCTTGGTTCCATTTTATCAACATGCGGTAGTAATGTATATGAGATTATTATCGACTTCGATTGGTATGTATCGCTTCTGGGAGAAATGTCAAGGATTCCACATTGCCAGAAGGGGGAAGAAATTGAGAAGCAGCTTATTGATATCGGTATGAGGGTGAAAGACATTAGACCAGAGCTTGTTCGGGTCAGTCGTGATCTACTGATTGATCCTGCATTACTTGGTAATCCTTTCTTACACAGGATATTGTCAGCTGCTGCTTGGTTGTCAGGGATATATGTTGAGTTCTCGATAAACCCATTTGAACTCATGGAGGCACTATTACAGCCTCGTACAACTCTCTTGCCGCCATTTATAAGAGCAGTTTATGTACAGTCTGCTTTTAAAGTTGTAATCTTTTGTCTGAATGCTTACCTTTTGCAGAGGGGGAATGCTGCTTCCTCCTCATATATTGATAAATTGGTGCCAGATGTTCCAGGATTGGTTTCAGAACGTGATGACCCAGAGAGTTCTGACTTGGCATCATGTGATTCTCCTGTGCATTGCAAACAGGATGAGGGATTCAACCCGAGGGTTTTAAATCAATCTTTTGAAGGTCTTTTTGCGGAACATGGTGGGGAGGAAACTGCTACTCGTGGGCAGGTATCTGCATCTTCTTCATTGAAGGATGGTTACACACATGAATCTGTCATAAACCTTTTAAATCGAGTTGAATTGGCTCTGGCTCCACTAACAAGAAGCTATGATGTAGAAATTCTAGAGAGAGCGCGAAATATACTCTGTTTCATTGAGTTGATTAAGCGAAAAATGCCTGATTGTCTAGTCCAGAAGGAAGAAAGTTTGGGAAGAGAAGAAGCACCAGCGTCCCAAATCATCAGATTGATGCATGATGCCTTTTCAAATGATCTAGGTCCTGTCTCAGTAAGTGCTCAAGAAAGAGTTCCTGTACCAGATGGGTTAGTGCTTGCGAAGAATCTTGAAGACTTGGAAACAATCTTTGGTGATGTTCAGCTGCCTTCATTAAATTCAGTTTCTCTTGGAAGCCCTCAATATGAGGACAGGGCTGGTTTTTCTCTCCCTATCCTTCAGAGTAAAGATGAGCCAGGACCATCAAATGAATCCACATCTCTGCTGGCAGATCACCGTAAGCAGCATGGTCTATATTATCTTCCTTCTGCAAAGAATGAAGATGAATATCCACCTGCCAATGATCTTAAATTACATGCTGATACCAATGATGGCGATGAAGATCTAGTTAAGCTTACTGAGCAATTACTAGTTTCAAAGAAAAAGCCAAACTATGTGAAGCCTAGGCCTGTGGTGGTGAAATTGGATGGAGATCAAGTACCTATTGCAGCCAACCCTGTTCGGAAGGAAGATTTGTTGTCTGGTACTGTGCGAGATGTTCTTTTAGGTAGTGACACCAATCACACATCCTCCCAAAGTAAAGTATCTACCAAGTCATCGACTCAGAGAAAAGGAAAGGATAAACTAAATGTTGATTCTGTTACAGAATCTAAAGAAAATTTGGGTGATATTGAAAAGCATGATCAAGGAAACCCAAGGTCAAGAAAAAGCAAGCACCATACGCATGGTAAAGGGAGAAGACACAAAAGCCCGGGAAAGAAGGGAGATGAAAGAGAAGAAAATGGTCAGAAAGTGAAGCAAAAAAATAGTCATAGCCATAGTAAGCACAAAGCTCGACAACGAGCAGAGGTGCCCCTGAATTTCGTTGCACAAACACCAGGCATTCCAGATTTTCTTTTATAGTGTTAAAAGGTTTGGATTTATTTTTTCAATCATGATTTCACAAAACTTGCCCTTGTATTTCACCATGACTAAGGTCAGTCCTGCTGTAGATTTTATACATTTTTCTTTCTTAATCACACTTTGTAGTTGCACAACTGTTGGATTCCTTTTTTTCACTTTTTATGCCAAACGATTCGAGTGAATATTCGAGTGAATTTCATTCAAGCTATGAAATTTGAAGGTTGAGATTGTCTATGAATTAAGTGTCGACCACACAGTTCTTGAAGTTCTATCTAATTGTGTTTTGAGTATTAACAGTATGAGATTGATATGATTAAGAGTTCTAAGTATGGGACTTTACCATGGTATTTGTAGCTGATTGAGAATGAACTTTTCACTTGATGTGTGGTTGACAAAAAGTTCAGTGTGTTTTTTGCTAATAGGCATCGGTTAAACCATCACAATCAGCTTTCAACTTTTCCTTGACTTATATTTTTCCTTCTCTCTAATGAGGTAGTGTTTTATTTTTTTTATACAAAGCGATAATTTGCTTTAATCTAATCTAAACTACGGGGAGAGGGATTCACACTCGGATGCAAAGTGGGAAGCACATCTGCTCTAGCCAACTTAGCTAAGCCTATGTCTGTATTTCTCTAAATGTGAGGAACCGAGTAAAGCATGCGGCTATACAATTTTTAAAATATTTTTTATTTTGAAAAAATTAGGAAAAACCGAGTATAGCCGCTCGGCTACACTATTTCTTCAAAAAATATAAGAAAACCCAGTATGGCAAAAATGTGTATAGCCGCTCGGCTATACTATATCTGTTAACAAATTTGAAAATACCAATTATAGCCGCGCGGCTATACGATTTCTTTTCTAAAAAAATTAAAAAGGCGCGTATAGCCGCCCGGCTATAGGATTTCTTTGTAAAAAAATTGGAAAAAACCGAGATACTATTTCTTTAAAGGCCGAACAAAAATCTGGGCCGAGCAAGTAGCAACTGCTTCCAGCCCACAAAAGTAAAAGACCTCTGGCCATACTTATTCTATAACAGAAATAAATAAATAAACTATAAACAAGTACAACTCTCCCATCACTCTCCTTTCTCTTTCTCCTCCTAGGGACCGTCGTCTCTGTAACTGTAACTGTGCCGGAGTTTACCATGGACGAGATGACAAAGGGAGAGGCAGCCATTGCTTGGGGTTGGCTTTTGGAAGCTTTGGCAGGCTTCAAAGAAGTTGGGGTATCGCTTTTACATGATTTGATTAAGATGGCTCCGGATTTGCCTGAGGATTTGGAAACGAAAGTAAACGAAAGGGTTGCTTTGAGATGTTTGGAGGATTTATTTTCCCCTGATGATGTTCCCGCTCCTCTTCCTTCTACTTCTACTTCTACACACCATTCAAAAGTCACCTTCGATTTATCGGAAAGTTGCGACGATGTTCTCCAACGCATCGTGAACGAGGTAAGATTTTAAAACCCAACAAATTTTTTTAATTTTCAGTTCAAATATTGTGTAGCTGGGATGTTCGTATGTTTAAATGTTAAGCGTAAAGTTCAAATATTTGTTTTGTCAGACACCAGAATCTGATTTGAAAATGGGTGGCCCTGGGCTGTTGAAATGGGATGTTCAGCCCTTTATCGTGCACAAACGAGCTTCTATGCCTAAATGTGCTTTGAGCCAGCTCAAAGATTCAATTCTTGACGGTACACATCCATATGCCGATTTCTTGATTAAAAAGAGCGGCTTAACATCTACCAGGGACGGTGGTAATGATAGACTTCCTGTCAGTGATAGTAGTAGGAGTAGAAGGTTCAATGGGAGCTGCTCTAATGCTAAAAACTCGAGAGTAGAAGGAAATGATGCAAATGTATTGCCTTCCAAGAGGGATATGATTGCCTCAAATTCTGAAAATTTGGCAGATGAAGACCATGGTGGAGTAAAAGGCTCAGATGATTCTCGTAGAAATGTCAAGAAGGTGAAGTTGGATGCCTCTTATGTCTCACAGTCTGTTGAACACAACCCGATTTCTTTGCCTCAAAAAGAACTATTGGATGATTCATTTGAAAGAGATACTCCAGTTTTCGAGAGTGAAAGGAGTGTTTTGGCAGAATATCGCATGAGCATGTTGGAGGAAAGCGAGGTCTTAGAGGATGATCATGATAATTATACTAGCTCAAAGAGGTCTGGACAGAGCACTGAGGTTGCAATCCATAAGAGTCAGTTAGAAATTCCTTGTACTGCTGAAGGCAAAGAGGATAGTGAGGATTGTCCTGAACCAACAACATCAGGTGTTGTTCCTCCAGATGTAACCCAGCATAAAGTTTCTGAGCATGGTTCTCATGTTAAAGTAGCACATGCTGCATCTGCAGATGGATCCCAGCAGAAGATCGTTGCCGATCGAGCCAAAGATCCCATGGATTGCCATTGCGAGTCAAGTGATAGCTATGGGTTTAATAATGAGAAGATTGATGTTGCCATGAAGAAGCAAGATTTCTTGACCTCTCAATGCACGTTAAATCGTGCTTACTCAGACACAATTGATTGGACAGAGAAAAATCTTTGTAAGAAGTGTAATGAAGGTGGTCAGTTGTTGATATGCAGCACCAGTGATTGCCCTTTGGTATATCATGAAAAGTGTCTTGGTTCTGAGTTCATTTGCTATAAGAAAGGTAACTTCTACTGCCCCTTCTGTTTGCATTCTCTTGCTCTTAAGGAGTACCTAGAAGCTAAGAAAAAAGCTTCTCTCTTAAGGAAAGATCTAGATGTATTTATGTGTAACGTTTTGGAACATCGGCCAGCGAAGTTTCTTTGAAGGAATTTTGATGAGGATCTTCTTGAAGAAAGTTATCAGAATATGGTGAAGCACGTGTAAATGGAGTCGATGACCTTCATTTTGAGAATATGGTGGTAACCAACAAGTAGCACCACCTGCATCATGCATTGATGCATGTCAATAGAGTTTAGAGACAAAGGGGCTACTGCATTTTGTACAAAACTATGGTGAAGCACGTGTGAAAATGAATGGGAAAAAAGAAGAAGAAAACAGAGTGGAAACCAGCGTTGTATATACAGTTTGATGATATTATAAATATTTGGGATCGTTCTCTTCTTTTTTCTATTGTGAAGCCTTTGCACTGCTGTTTGAGTCTCTTTGGTCGAAGCTAATACCATAGTAAACCCAAATCTTACGCAAAGGGCATTCAAGCTGCTGAACCCTTTCCTACCCTAACCCCTTATTCAGTGGCTAAACTAATTCGTTTAGAAAACTGAACATGAAATATGCGTAAGATGAACTTTTTCTATCCAAGAAAGAACAGGGGAAGCATCACCAATACTTTACTTTCTTCAATAATTCTGGCCCCAAATCTAGGAGCTCATACCAACTCCGTGACATTTGCGCCGTAACGTGTAGTTAAACTTATTTGTCAAGTTTGCGAATGCTCGAACTGGTGGAGAGTGGGCATGAGATGTCAACCCTTTGAAGATATGCGGTGTTGATTGTCAACAAGACTTTAGAAACCCTAGGTCGGACCAAAACACATGCATGCCATCTTAACTTTCGCTTCAATTGTCTTCTTTCAACAACAAATAACTTCCATTCTAAGTGTCCTAGATTATTAATGTACATAAATTGTCTTTAGTAGCTAAGCTAGCTACGGTCTTCATCTTCTGCTTAACTCTTCACCTATCCTCTAATGCTTTCGGCAATGGGAAATGAACACCGAAAATCTCAACCAATTCTAAAGCTTTTGCTCTCCTATATACAGTTTAGCCATGTCTTTGAGCTTGTGTTTTTTGTCGCTGGTTTGTGCCTTGGAGTCATGGTCAGTTTGTACTGCAAGACCTTCCCATTCAAGTTACAAACCACTGTAAATGTTTTCTCTTCGTCACCACTGTCACTGTCGGTGCCAACTCCAGCATTGCAATTGCTCCCACAACCACCCTCACCGTCGCCAACTCCAACATCACAATTGCTCCCACAACCCTGCTCACCACCGCCTCTCCCATTAGTAGACTTGGGTACTGAGGTTGAGGCATTTATGTTGCACAAGATGGATGATGATGATGAGTTGGCTTGGAGGGCATCATTGGTTCCAAGGATTAGAAGGTTTCCTTTTAACCATGTGCCTAAAGTTGCCTTCATGTTCTTGACAAAGGGACCTATACCCTTGGCCCCATTGTGGGAAATGTTCTTCAAAGGTCATGAAGGACTTTATACCATATATGTTCACCCTCATCCTTCCTACGTAGATTCATGGCCTCAGAACTCTGTTTTCTATGGAAGGAGAGTTCCAAGCAAGGTTGGTTTCTCAATTCTCACAAATACACAAATTTCACTTTGGTAAATTTTAAGCTCTGTTGATAAAAATGGTGAATTTTCAATCATTTAATAATTTGTCACACACACATATATAAACTATGATTGCAGGAAGTTCAATGGGGAAAACCAACAATGATTGATAGTGAGAGACGCCTACTAGCAAGTGCTCTGTTGGACTTCTCTAATGAGAGATTTGTGCTGCTGTCCGAGTCTTGTATCCCATTGTTCAACTTCACCACAATTTACAGCTACCTCATGAATTCCAGTGAGAGCAATATTGGCTCACATGACGACCCGAGGAAGTCGGGTCGGGGCAGATACAATCCAAAAATGTGGCCTGCAATTAACATATCGGATTGGCGCAAAGGCTCCCAGTGGTTTGAGGCCAGTCGAAAGCTTGCAATTGAGATCGTATCAGACACCAAATACTACCCCATATTCAAAGAGCATTGCAATCCTCCTTGTTACATGGATGAACATTACCTCCCTACCCTAGTCAACATTCTTGGCGTCGAAGACAACTCCAATCGAAGCATAACTTGGGTTGATTGGTCCAGAGGTGGCCCTCACCCTAGAAGATTTGTGAGGAATGATGTTTCATATGAGTTTTTGAATCAAATAAGGTTTGGCACCAATTGCACTTGTAATGGTATTAATGCAACCACTTGTGTGTGCTTTTTATTTGCTAGGAAGTTCATGGCAGACACTCTGCAACCTCTCTTGCAAATTGCACCCATTTTGCTAGGTTCCGTTTCATAATTATAATATTTGTACAAATATGCGTTTATGCATATCTATTTATTCCCGCATGCCTGGGTGGTGGTGACTACTCATGTAGCCCAACCAGCAGTGTTCAGCCTGTGGCAGCTCAGGCATCTGTGAGTAGCCCAACCGGCAGTGTTCAGCCTGTGGCAGCTCAGGCATCTGTGGCCCAATTGATTTTATTATTTTCCTAATTGGAATTTATTTATAATAATAAAAGGTTTAGAAAGTTTTCATTCTCTATGTTGATTGTTGATTGTTGATTGAGGGGGGAGGCTGTCCCGAATGGTAAACTTGGAAAAGCAAATGGTAAATTCCACAAATATTTCATACTTGTATAAAATCTAAAGCTCTTCCCTTTTTTAACCAGATTTTGATCCTAATTGATACTTATTTTGACACAATTCAAGGAATCCAGATTTCTCATATACACACACGTCTTTCCCTACCAACAATACAACTTGGTTAACATATGTTTTTGGTTCCTCATTTTTAAATTTTAAGCAAGTCTGTTCTGTATAATTATTTGGGTTCATTCACCCAACCCTCCAGAAAAGCACTCTCTGTTTATAGGTTAATATTATTAATTAATTCTGAGTCATTGTTTTTATTATTATTTGGTTAATTTAATTCTCCATGACCTTTCATGTTAACAATATACTAAAAATATATATATACATATACATATACATAGTGTGTGTGATGAAATCAAATCAATTTAAGAATCTTTCAAGGAGAGCAGCCCACATTTCATTCATTTCAAACCATTCGACTTCTCATTCTCACTCATTCTCTCTCTCTCTCTCTCTCTCTCTCTCTGCTAATTATCACTCCAAAATGAAGAACAAACAGCAGCAGCAGCAGCAGCAGCAACCACCCTCATCAATTCCCAAGCATTTCCTCAATGTCCAAATACACCTCCATAAAATCATCTCCAACTTTCTCATCTTCGCCTTCGGTTTAGCCATCGGCGTCTCCATCAGTTTCTACCTCAAAGATTTTCCCTTCCAGCTCTACGCCACCCAAACCAAATACTCTCGTTCATCAAACACTCCATTGTTATTCTCTTCTGCTCCACCACCACTACCACCACCGCCGCTGCCAACTCTCAATATCCAAAAAAATCAAACCAAAACTTCTGCTGCGCCTCCCCCACCCCCAATCGGCTTAAAAGAATACACAAAGCCACCCAACATTATGCACGACATGGACGACGCTGAATTGCTGTGGAGAGCTTCACTGGTGCCTCGCCGGCGCGGGCTGCCGTTCAAGCGCACCCCAAAAGTGGCGTTCATGTTCTTGACAAGAGGGCCTCTGGCATTGGCTCCGTTCTGGGAAATGTTCTTCAAAGGCCATGAAGGGCTCTACTCTATCTATGTCCACGCCAATCCGGATTTCAACGACACCATGCCTCAAAACTCTGTTTTTTATGGCAGAAGGGTCCCAAGTAAGGTCAGTTCATCCACGTTACAATTATTATTTTCCTTGATTTGTTTTCATTAATTCATTTTGATTCAGAATTAGTCTAATGTCTAGTGCATTTCATTCTTAAGAGAGAAAAAAATCTGTGATCAAAACCCATTAGATTACTTGTAGCACCAAACCAACCAACATGATGACTTTTATGTGAAAATAGCAAATTAAATTCCTGCACACTATAATAAGGCTTTTTTGTGTGCATGTTTTTGTTTTTATTAAGAAATTAAATACTGATGGTAAGGAGTGGAATGCGTTATGCTTCATTAAGTATTTAGTATCCGTAAAGTAGCTTTAATTTGCTCAAATTTAACTTTTCTCGTAAATTAAAATTGGAAAAAGAAAAAGAAAATACGGGTTAGCTCAGTTGGTAAGGTCCCTGCACTGTGTGTCGCCCCACCAGTGTTCGAGTCCTGCTAGCAGTTCTGTGTCTAGTGGGTAATTTGAAAAGACCTTGATTTGTCCTGGCCCTGGGTGTGGGGGTAGCCTCTCCCTCCCCTAAACTTTTTATTACAAAAAAAATACGTTAGAAGAGGTCCCGATTTCCTAGCGACAGAGGAAAAGAAAAACATAAAGCCGATGTTTCTATATGAAAATTTAGTTATTTCTTGACAATATAATTAGTTAGGATTACACACATATATATGATTTTACATACCTTTTGGAGGGATGTAAAATCAATTTGGAGCCATTGAGATCATTGCATAAAGAAGAGCTGTCAGCCTTGCCTAACAACACGCCTCATATAGTGGACAATTTGATACGCTTCTTTTATGATATTATTATTTTCCTATGTTATTATTGCTTTAGACACGTACTGCATAGCAAGTCTTTGGAAGACCAAAAATAATAATTTCTGTGGTTCTTCTGTATTGTTCCATAAAAAGCAACACACCCTTAATTACTTTAAGCTCTTCTCTCTTCTCCAAGAGTTATTTATATTTTTTTTGGATAGTTGACATTCCTTGTCTATATATTATATTATGCCTATAGAATGATAAAATACATATATAATTTGCACAAGATATTAACTTGAGAACTTAATTTAGTTTATGATTATTAATAATTAATATATTTTAAGGTATCTAAGCAGATCTTATTATAATGATTTGGGGTGGCTGATACATGTCTAGAAATGATTGGACATAACAACATGGGAAAAACCTGTGTAAGTGGAGTTTTGTCCTGTGAAGTTCTAACAAAAGAATCAGATTTTATTTGGGGGAATAGCTAAAGTTATGGAGTCGTGATGAGCTATATGTAGTGATATAATTACTTTATGTTAAAGAAAAGTTTGAAAGAGTCATTAGGAAAACAAATAAATCAATCTTTGGAAATTATATGGGGCCGGGCGGGGGGGGGGGGGGGGGTTTTTTTTTTTTTTTGGGTGGGGGGGGGGGGTGTGATTTTATTTATTTTTGGGTCAAAATCTCTTCTAGTTAATTCACTTCTAAAGTTGGCATATGCATTGAGTGGTGAATTCAATTTGTTTCATCACGCATTGCTTTGATTCTACTCTTTTTGGAACTGTAACAACAGACAGATTTCAAAATTCTAAATTCCTTTCGTAATGTTGTCTCTCACTCATCCCATCCAATGCAGCCAACAAAAAGGAAGGCAAGAATGGCCTTAGTTTCGTTCTTTAAGTACTTAGGAAGCAACAAAATGTAACACGTATAAATAATTCTTTGGTTGAGGTAAAGTCGGTCGAAAAATGATCCGGAACTAGTTGGGTCATATATTCTTACAAAACATCTGACATGTTATATTATCAAACCATCAACTTAAAAGTCGTCATATGTTTGATTAATAAAGTAGATAACACGACAAATAGATATCATTGGTGGTGTGGTGGTAAATAACTTAATGTGTTCAATGGCGCAGAATGTGACATGGGGTGAGCCTAACATGGTGCAAGCAGAGCGACGCCTATTAGCCAATGCCTTGCTTGACTTCTCCAACCAACGTTTTGTGCTGCTCTCTGAGTCTTGCATACCACTGTTTAATTTCAAAGTCATCTACAATTATCTGATGAACTCAACCCAGACATTTGTGGAGGCCTACGACTTACCCGGTCCAGTGGGCCGAGACAGATACAGGCCCCAAATGAGCCCACAAATCAAGCTCTACCAATGGCGGAAGGGCTCGCAGTGGTTCGAGGTGGACCGTGTGATTGCGGTGGAGGTGGTTTCCGATCAAAAGTATTTTCCATTGTTTACAAAGTACTGCAAGCCCTCGTGCTATTCTGACGAGCACTACTTGCCTACGTACGTGAACATCAAGTTTCGGAAGAAAAATTCGAATCGGACGTTGACTTGGGTTGACTGGTCAAGGGGTGGGCCCCATCCGTCTAAGTTTATGAGAACGGATGTGACTGTTGAGTTCTTGGAGAAGCTGAGGCATGGAACGAAATGCGAGTACAATGGGAAGAGCACCGATGTTTGCCACTTGTTTGCCAGAAAATTCTTGCCCAACACTTTGGATAGGCTGTTGAGGTTTGCCCCAAAGCTCATGAAATTCAATTGATTTTAGCGGTCAAGATTTTTTGTTCGTCATTCATTTCTCTGTAAACTAATAAAGCTTAATTAGGGTCAGTACGTAGGTTTTGTTTTGTTTTTGTTTTTTTTTGGCTTTTTATGTTTATAAGTTATCCTTTGAAAACACATTAGAGGGGCGAAGCTCTAGAAAATGTTTGTGTGCGTGTGTGTTTTTTCCCCCTTTCGGTTGGGGCAGTTGGATTGGAGGTGTATAAGTTGATTGATCCAGATAGTTGTGATATAGAGTGATATTTTGTACCATCCACCTCTTGACATTCTCTCTTTTGTTACAATGGCCAATTCTAGTGACAACTTTGTCAAAAACTCCAACATATAAGCACAGCGTCGTCTTTGTTGTCTTTTGCACTAAAAGTACTAGTGTTGGGTCCAAACAATGACGTTGTGGCGGGTGTGGCGGTGGTGGACTTCTTGAGTTGAATGATTTAAGTTGTGCTACCACTCATCTCACCCCCAAACTGAAAAATATGGCAAGATGTAAAATTGAGTGACTGTGAAAGCGCAAAAGAAAGAAGAGTAATTTATAATTTGTACTGAGTCAAACGCAGTATATATAGAGAGAGGAAATAGGTTGGTTCTTTCTGCGAACTTTTTTGGCGATTTCGGGTAACCAGTGCAGTTGGGACTTGGGAAAGTGCAGCCAAACTTCAAAAAAGAAAACTCTTCTTTTTGTGGTCAGTCAGTCAAAGGAAAACTGAGAACGGAATAGTATCAAAATTTAGCTTAATTTTGTTGTGATATATGATATATCAGAATCAGTCAAAACCTAACAAGATCGATATATTTGGTTATGTCCAAGTAAGTACCAGTTCAGTTCCTTCTTCACATTTTCATATGCATCCATGATCCATCATTCCATTCCATGCACTGCCGCTGCAAAATATATTGAATTAAAACAATGAGAAGAAAAGTGATATAATATACGTCTCTGAAATTTACCCCACCCCACCCCACCCAACCTAATAATGGCAATTCTTTTTTGGTCTTACCATCATACCATGGGGCATCTCTCTGGTTATTAATCTATAATTAATCATATAATAATGTTTAAAACATCACCATCTTAGCTAGAGGCCCTACATGAATACGAATTAGATCCTTCTCAGAAATGCAGTTATTGACCAAAATTAGCATCCTTGTACTTACACTACACGGCTATCCTGACCCCAACCAAACATTTCCGCATATAAATTAATAAATAACTAAATTGGTGTGACCAATCACATGCATGCATGTATATATATAGAGATCTAACGGTTGATATAGTTTGATTGTTGGCACCCCTCTGTGACGATGCATACATCTCAACCGTGGGACTTTTGACTTTGTTATCAGTGGAGGACCCTATCAATATGACCAAGACCAAATAGAAGAGACAGAAAGAGGGTTTGATTGGAATATGAAGCAAATATATATAAAGTTGACGTCAAAAGTCCAGCGTCATGTATACCTAGGCCATCTCGTTTCTCTCCTACCTAGCTGTTTCCTAGGCCATTCCCGGAACCTTCATTTTTATATTACTTCATTCTACCAACCCTTTCAATATTTTGCTCATCATTCTTTGTATATATATAAAGCCATGGCATATGTGACATCCCTAACCCTCAAGAATACTTCATCGATCACCCTCTCTCTCTCTCTCTCTCTCTCTTTTTCTTTGGAACTGAGAAAATGGCCGCCAAACGGTTCTTTAATGATGCAGAATCCGACCAAGATCAGCCAAACGAAAAACGGAAGAGACCTAGACCTTCTTTTGCTTCGTATGTCTAACTACTACTTCTTCTTCTTTCCTTTTGATATTCTTTTTATATCTTTGATTTCCTACAACTGTTTGATTTCTAACTACTTATTATAATTACATGTGCTTATTCGTTTGACAGTGTGATTGGAGAAGTGGTTCTGGTGAACTCCATGCAAAGCCTTTTCTCATCCTTGGAGCCTTTGCTTAGAAGGGTGGTACGTTAAGCCTTTTCTCTATTTAACTAATTATATGAGCTTAATTAATCATATCGATCTTTTTGCTAATTTAATTTTGATCTGTTTTATTAGGTGAGTGAAGAGGTTGACCACTGTCTAAGACGGTGCTCACTCCGCCCAATGACAAGGTCTCCTTCAATGAGAATCCAAGCTTTAGAGCCATCCAGCGTACAACTAGTGTTTGCTAAGAAGCTCTCCCTCCCAATCTTCACCGCAAGCAAGATATCAGATGAAGACAACAACCCAATTCAAATCCAGATCGTGGACAAGACCAATAACAGTAATGGTGCCCAAATAATAGCTAGCGATCTACCCAACCCAATCAAAGTGGAGATTGTTGTTCTTGACGGGGACTTCCCGACCGGAGGCCGTGACGATTGGACGACTGAAGAGTTTGAGAGCAACATATTGAGGGAGAGAACTGGGAAGCGGCCATTGCTCACTGGGGACGTAAATGTGACTGTGAGAGATGGGCTTACTGCAATTGGGGAGATTGAGTTCACAGATAATTCCAGCTGGATTAGGAGCAGAAAGTTTAGGCTTGGTGCAAGAGTGGCTCCAGGCACAAGCGCCTATCAGGGCTCAAGGATCCGTGAGGCCATCACCGATGCTTTCGTTGTTAAAGATCATCGTGGAGAATGTAAGTATACATGTCTTGTTCGGTGCTTAAAATTGAATTGGATTTCATATTTACATCCTAAGTACTTCATACATTTTTTATTTTATTTTAAATTATTTTTCATGGACGTGACCTTACCAACCTGCTTGACTCGATAGTTTTATCCAAGTCAACCATCACAAACACAATACAATGCAATATTGTATCAAAAGATCATGTTTACACAGCGAGTCGAACAGTCTGCGATGACCTCTAGAGCAATGGGACCACGGCCATTTCTTTAAGTTCATGCATGTTGCCAAAGTTGCAAAAAACTAGTGAACATTATTTGAGTCAACAAACAACCTAGAGCTCTGCATCTGCTATTTCATTACTTTTTCATATGGCCAGAATTCAATCAAATATTCTTTGTTCAATAATTGTACTTTTTTGTACGCGTTAGGCCTGTCTTCATCTTCATGACTTGGGTCAATGGTAGCCTTTATGCTTTTTTTTTTTCTTTTCTTTCCCTGATATGCTTTATGCCCTTTAAACAAGTTAATGATCAAGTTGAATGGGAAGAGGTTTGATTTGTCTTTTCTTGTTTGTAATTCTCGAAGTGCAAAACTTTTCTACATGTCATGGCTTGGAGTTACGTGCCTAGCTGCATAAAAATATCTATCTGTGAGTCTTGTAAGTAAGAAATTAATCTAACCAAATCCCAAATTTTGATGTCGAAGTGTACAAGAAGCATCATCCCCCAACGTTGGAAGATGAAGTTTGGCGCCTGGAGAAGATTGGTAAAGAGGGAGCTTTTCACAAGAAGCTAGCCTCGGAGAACATTCACACAGTACAAGACTTCTTGAAGTTGTTTGTGGTTGACCGGTCAAAGCTAAGAAAGGTACCGTACAAATATACCTAAAACTTTATTTATGCATTTTCTTACCTTCAAATAATTGGCTAACATCAACTTTTTTGCAACGACAGATTTTAGGCGTTGGAATGTCAGAGAAAATGTGGGAGGTAACAGTAAAGCATGCCAGAACCTGTGTTCTGGGCAACAAAATGTTTATTTATCGTAGTGCTCATTTTGCGCTTTTCTTGAACCCGATATGTCAAGTGTTGAAGGCTATAGTTAATGGGCAAGTTTTCCCTACTCGGGACCTAAGCAACATCAATAGGGTATGCACAATCTTCTTCTTTTCTTCTTTAGCAATAATCCTATTTAGGTTGTGTTATTCGTTTGCTAACACAAACTGGAATTGAGAATTTGCAGACATATATTGAGAATTTGGTGAGGGAAGCCTACGCAAACTGGAATTCCTTGGAAATGGTCGACGCAGTCTTGAATGAGACTGCCTTATTGACACAAGGTATATTATAATTAGTTTTCAATTTCAGTGGTATCTCAACTTACACCGCGTTTCAAAATTTAATTTGGGACATACCCTTGATTTAATAGGTGATCATGTAGTGGAGCAATATCCCAACCATCATGTTGAGTCAATGTCAAGATCAGCATTCGATCAGAATGGACACCTGGGCCTAGCAGCAGCGGATCATCACTCTAAATCTCTCAATGTCGGTTACCCACTACCAAGCAATAGTGCAAGCTCCAACTTTGAGTGCAGTAATGGTAGTGATAACTGGAATATAAATTCGCCATATATATTCAACCCATTTGTGGAAAGTAGCATCATCAAGTGTAGCATCTCCGACTCATCTTCAGATGGCGATTTACTTTAGCATCTCAAGCCCTTTCATTACCAAACCAGTGGGGTTGGTTCTATCTGCATTTACCTTTTTTTGCTTATGTAAATATATGTATTATGAAACTAATTATGATTCTCTATTTCTATTTTATGTGATGATTATAGACAAAACTTGTCTTTAAATCAAAAAAAGAAAAAAAAATATATATATACAAAACAATGCCCTTTTGTGAATTTTTACAATAAAGTGATGATAAAATCAGCATCACTTAATTTTTTTATTTTTTTTTTGTGTGTTAAAAAACTATATTCTAAATTACTTAAATATATGAGAAAGGATATCGAACTTGAGTACAAAGGAATATATCGCCTTAAGGGTTGTTTGTGTACCCAATGTCATCACATACAACATAAACAAAATTACAACACCATTTACAATTTTTTGTAATCACTTATCATGGGTTTCGCTCTTGATCATTTAATTGGATGAAACAAAACATATCATTCCCTATCATTTTAAAATGTTTAATATATACCATATTTTAAATCACATTTTAATTAATTAATATATATTTAATAATATCGACCTAAAGACCAAATCCACAAACCACTCACTTGCATGACCCAACCCAACCCAAACTACCAAGAGTATCAAGACCTCCAAGAAATAACGGATTTTGTAGGAATATATGCCCCCAAAAAAAAAAAAGTCAAATCGGCCTAGGCGCCCGCCTAGCGGCCTGGGCGGGTCTGGTCCTTTTTTCTTTATAATTTTTTTCCCTGACTTTAAAGAAAACACGCTGCCTCCTCTGAGCCGTCCCCTCATTCTCTCTCTCTCTCTCTCTCAGAGCACCACCACCAGGCTTCCACCAGCGACGACCACCACCAGGCCGCGACCCGCGACCCCCGTAAAGAATTTGGGTTGTCCTCTTCGGCCGAAACAAGTGCATTTGCTGAAGACATTTTCGCAAGAGTGCCCCGTAAAGAATCTGGTTTGAATGTGAGTTCTTATTCCAAATTAAATGAATGTGTAGACTTAGGATTTAGCCTCCAGTTTTATCTGTTTATAGCATCGTGGCTTTCCTGCTTGTTATTCGTGTATATCAGCTATATCAGAAACAAGAGAGGGAAGCTGCGATGTTGGTGAAGAAGCAGAAGACATTTTCTCTCTTGGATACAGATGGCGATAGATCTTCTGCCCAGGTTGTTTATAAGAAACGATTCAGGTAGAAGGTCTTGAGTCAAGAAGATGAAGATGAAGAGGTTAATTCTTTTAACTTTTGAAAGGTAATATTCTGTATTTGTTTCTCATGGTAACTGTTGTTTTAACTGAATTGTTAGTTGAAGGGAGAAGAGAGGCTTAGAGAATAGTTGATTTATTTAGGACAATATTCTTTATGTGGAATAGAAAGCTTTTTTGAAAGGGTAACAAAATAATTTTATTTTATTGATTGAAATAAGAAGGGTACAAGGCTTTAGAATTGGTTGGATACAAGGGTTGGCTAAAGGGAGGAGTTAGGCAGCTGTAGATTTCAAGTTTTCCTTGAATAAATACATATGTGCTGCTAATAGCTATATATAGGAGTCTACAACCGACATAGCACAAGTTCCACCGACTTGGCTTGTACATTTACAGCCACTAGATTATATAACTTTCTAGATTTAACTATATTATTCTAATATAATATCTAGTTAATGTAGTCTTGCTCTAGAGATATTTGTCTTTAGTCATAATTTTTCACATGATTCTAGATTTCTCTAGTTATAGATATTTTACTTTCTCTCAATCTTTCTTGATTTTTCTAGATTATTCAAGACATTTCTATATAATTTTAGTACAAATGTGTATTACTTTTTAACATGAATATTGCACAAGAGGAAGAAGAGAGACGAGTTAAAAGACGAATTTCCCCAGATGACGATGATGGTTCAGAGGTTTTCTTCTTTTATTTTTATATATATTTTAAAATTTATCCAAAGGTAGTGCTTCAATACTTGGCTGGCTAGGCTTTCACTTTGTGGTCGGATTGGTTAATTATCTTGTTATCTGATGATAGAATCTGTATGTTCCACTAATCATACCATTATGTTCATTATAATTATATATACATTGTTTCCTATGTCTCATATATACATTGAGGAACATGTTTGCATTCATTTTCTGCAGATCCAGAGTTTACCGAAACAGCAAGGGGAAGGCAACTCTATATCAATGAATTAAGAGCTGGTAAGATGCTAATGGTATGAATCCATGTCTTGAGGCTTTTGAAGTGATTTCCCACTACTGCTGTCAAACATTGCGGATTAGCTTTCCTTTAGCTCCTTCATTTTAGGACCTACCTGTTTGGAACAATGAGATTGTCTGTGTTCATGAGCTTATTTCAATGGCATAGTTCTTGAAGGAGGGATGCATTCATATGTTAAAGACATGTAGAGAAACATTTTGTATTTGATACGGCACATAGGGGTTTAGGACATGGCATGCTTTTGCTTATGCTTTCAAATTTTTTCTGTGTTTATTTTTTAAAGCAATCTGTATTCTGTGTGCTTGGTTGTAGTTGTGGTGGTTGAAGAAACATAGCCCATATTCAGGGACTATGTTAGATGCATTCTCTGTGTAAATATTTGGTTGTAGTCTTGGTGGTTGGATTAAAGGATTGGATGCATTCTGTAAAAATCCACTAACATGGCCCATAAAGAGTAGCAGTATTCCACTTCTGATAAATATTTGTGGCATACATATATTTTTATCAGAGGATCGATGATTCGGGTCTAAGGGTATTCTAATAATTTGTTTTCCTCTGTGTGCAGTCTTGCAAACGTTGATCCTATTGATGTTGCCAGAATTATTTCATGCATTTTGGAGTTACGTGCCTAGCTGCATACAAATTTTATTCTACTGCATTTATCTGTGAGTCTTGTAAGAAATTAATCTAAGTAGCAAGCAAGCAACCAACCAAATCCCAGATTTTTGATGTGAAGTGTACAAGAAGCATCATCCACCCATGTTGGAAGATGAAGTTTGGCGCCTGGAGAAGATTGGGAAAGATGGAGCTTTTCACAAGAAGCTAGCCTCGGAGAACATTAACACAGTACAATACTTTTTGAAGTTGTTTGTGGTTGACCGGTCAAAGCTAAGAAGGGTACGAGTATGTACAACTTTATGCATTTTCCTACATTCATGCTTATTCCAAATAATTGGCTAACAGTAACTTTTTTCATGATATTTAAAACCACCAGATTTTAGGCGTTGGAATGTCAGAGAAAATGTGGGAGGTAACAGTAAAGCATGCCAGAACCTGCGTTATGGGTAACAAAATGTTCATTCATCTTGGTGCTCATTTTGCGCTTTTCTTGATTAAGATATATCAAGTGTAGAGAGCTATGGTTAATGGACAAGTTTTCCCTACTAGGGACCTAAGCAACATCAATAGGGTATGAATTCATATATACGCACAATCTTCTTCTTTTCTTCTTTAGTAATAATCCTATTCAGGTTGTGTATTCGTTTGCTAAACTATATGTGGTGTTGAAATTCGCAGACATAGATTGAGAATTTGGTGAGGGAAGCCTATGCAAACTGGAATTCCTTGGAAATGGTCGACGCAATCTTGAATGAGACTGCCTTATTGACACAAGGTATGTTATAATTAGTTTTTAAGTTATATGAACTTATACCGAGTTTCAATTGGGTCATTGAAGTTTTTTATGAGTCAATTTGGTCCATCAACTCTCTTAGTGGTGTCAATTGAAGTTTTCCATCACATTCAGCCAGTTTGAAATTTAATTTGGGACATTGATCTAATAGATGATCTTGTAGTGGAGCAATATCCCAACCATCATGCTGGGGCAATGTCAAGATCAGCATTCGATCAAAATGGACACCTGGGCCTAGCAGCAGCGGATCATCAGTGAATGTGGGTTACCTATCACCCTAAATCTGTGAATGTGATTTACCTACTACAAAGCAACAGTGCAAACTCCAACTTTGAATGCGGTACTGGTAGTGATAACCGGAACATAAATTCACCATATATATATTAAACCCATTTGTGGAAAAGTAGCATCATCAAGTGTGGCATCTCCGACTCATCTTCAGATGGCTTTTTGAAGTATTGAATCGGCAGCTGATTTGGACTGATTAGAACGAAATTTGAAGTATTAGATTGGGCTAACAAGGACTGGATAGGCTTAGAGTCCAGTCCTATTCATTTTTGCACCAAACAACATACTGGAATTCACTTCTTTTTTCTAATAAATCAGAATTTTATTTTATTTTTTGATTAACAATAACCATATGCAAAATCTCAAGCCCCAAAAATGTCAATCGAATCGGCGTCTGAAACCTTCCTTTGATGGGTCAAACAATTCGCGAGATGAACAATGAGAGAAGAAGAGAAATGCGAACCGTTTGGTTGCTGAGAAAACGCAAGGAAACGTGAATATACAATAAGAAAACGACAACTGAATCTGATCCGATACCTGTATCAGAAAAGCTACGAAATGGGAACGTTACAGCTTCCTCTTCAGAAAACGAGCTCTTGAGCCTTCTCTCTCTCTCTCTCTCTCTACAAAAATCCTTTTCCTCAAATCCCCTCTTCTTCTTCCTCGCTTCCAAATTCCAACCTCTCCTTGCCCAACTCCACATCTACAGAAAGAGTAGCAGTGGACCCAACTTCTTCTTCAGGCAGTAATTACCAACTGCCCTTGCTCCGTGCTATCTCTGCACAGCCATTGGACCCACCAACCCAACAACCGATTTCACCCATTTCACAAACTGAAGAACCAGCGGAAGTTCAATGATGAAACTGAGTAAGACCCAGGTCGTGAAAGAGATAATAGCGAGATTGGGCAGAGGATAAGGGAGAGAGGAGAAAGAGAAAAGAGGAGAATAGAGGAGGAACGGGATGGATGGAAAGGAGGGAGGTGACCATAGTATTTGGGACTTGGATCCAAAGGCCCACCAAATAATAGTTAGATACATGTCCATTTTAATTGGAAATATCCCATTCAATTCAGCCCACCAAAAAGGACCTCAAGTCCTTTCATTATCAAACCGAACCGGAGGGGCTAATTCTATCTGTATTTACTTTTTTTTGGTTGCTTACGTAAAGTATAATGCACCAAATAACCCAACTCGAATATCAATCAGCTTGAGTTAGCTCTGTAGATTTTATGACCTGCGCATTCATCAATCTGGACTACCTGGACAGTTAGTCTGTGTTGTAACCAAATGGGTAATCAGTCACCTCTTGCTTCATTGACTCCAACCCATCTGAAAATAATAATTAGCACATTAATTTCGTCCATAATGTTTTAAACGGAGAAATGTCCATTGACCAAAATCACTCACACAAGGGACAAAGGACAAAGCTCATAGAAGAAAACTCAACAGCCATTCTTTCTCTCGCATTGTCGGGAAAATTCTAAGAAACACACCTTTGAAACTTCTATTCTGATTCTAGCTTATCATCTCACCAGCCCAATTCTATTCTGATTCTCCATGAGCTTTCTACGAATGACTATACCGAACCAGCTCATCATCATTCTCATTCTCCAATTCTAATTTTCTCCATGAGCTTCTGCAGATGACCATGCCCACAGCCCACATCTTCCTAAGACTACCCATCCTCTTCATCATCTTCAACTTGATCACAACGTTGATCCCCTCTGCTCTTTGCAATGACGATGCTCGATACACAGAGTGCCGCAATACCTACGACTGCGGTTTGCTTAAAAACATAATCTACCCTTTCTGGGCAGCCAACAGTCGGCCCCAACACTGCGGGCGAGAAGGCTATCAACTCACCTGCCGAGATGATCAAAACACTGTTATCAGAATTGAAGACCAAGATTTCCTTGTCTTGAACATTAGCAGGGAAGTTCACACCATCACAATTGCTCGCGTAGACCTCTGGGACAGTCCTTGCCCTAGCAGGCTCGTCAACACCACTTTGGACTACGATCGTTTCGCTTACGTTCAAGCTGTTCGGAACCTGACTTTGTTCTATGGCTGCGTCCCTACCAATCAGTCAATCGCAAACAACTTTACTTGCAAAATAGAGGGTACCCAAAACGATCTTGCGATCTATATAGACGACTCTATCTCGAGTCTTACTCCTGGTCAGAATGAGACCTTCTGCCCCTACAATATCAGAGTCCCCATAATGTGGACGGGTGTTGATCGTCCGCCTGAGAATTACACGGTGGATGTACTGAAACAAGTTTTGAAGCAAGGCTTCAGGGTTGAGTACTATGCCGACTGGAAGCTCTGTGGGCCATGCATGCTCTCTAATGGAACCTGCGGATCCAACATCACCACTGACTCTTTTCTCTGCTTTTGCGGGGGCCAACCTTATGAGGAAACCTGTCCAAGTTCTGGAGGTACGCATGTCAATTCCTTCTTATTTTTCCCGGTTCATAATTTTCCTGGTTTAACCTTTTTAAGCTTGGAGTTTCCATTAATTAGTCAGAATTTGGAGATACCACTTCAGATTACGAACTTTTAATTAGAAAAGGGATGGCTGAATAAGTTTTAATTAACCCCCCATAGAAGAAATGATTAGCTAAGTAATTATAATCACAGAGAACTAAAACATATGATCCTTCTGTCTGTCCCAAGTGAAATGTGCAACTGCCATTCTCTTTGCTCTGTTTTTATTTCATCTTAAGTTTGTTGGTTAATTACCGCCTTTTCCTATTCCTTTTCCATCTGAATTCAGATATTAGTTGCATATAAACCCTCCCTGAGTAAACATAGACACCAGAAGTGATGCTATTTGACTGGTTACGCTTCCCTGTTGATAAAATAAAAATAAAATAAGGACAACCCATGAGGAAACCTGTCCACTTTTCGGTGGTATGCATATCATCTTTTATTACTTTAGTTTGTGTGCAACACATATTTATTGGTCGAATTGCCACAAGGTTATGACTTATGAGTCGCCTTAATGGGGTGCATATTTCTTCCCCCCCCTTGTCTTTTTTTTGTTTTTGTTTTTCAGAAGCTTTGTCCCGTTAGATTTCTACTTGAAGCAAATATAAATTAAAAAAGCAAAATATTTGGTAGCTAGGTTTTGGCTGATCTACTTGTGTGTAGAGTAGTAACTTGACTTTTCAGAAGATATAAGTTTAGTTAATATTCTAAGAATTCTGCTTGTTTGATTGCTTTTGCAGACAATTCGTGGAGCTGGAAAAGAGAGGTTGTTGTCGGTAATATCTCAACAACCCATTTTTTGATTTCTTCCGTTCTCTAATGTTTTACTGCTTTTCCCAACTAGATTATTATATTCACTCCTGATCCAACTATCAATCGCAACCTCTTTATGTCTCCCATTGTGCCCAGTTGTTTGCATAGCTGCTATTTTCCTTGTATACCGACGCTGCAACAGAAAGCAATTTCCTCCATCATCTCTTTTTTCCCTATTTCTTTTAAGAATACATCAAACTTATTCGCCATTAATGATGCCTAAAATATGTCGCTGTTCTGCTGACAGGTGCTGCTGCTGCTGCAGGAATTGGGATCTTACTATGTGTTATCGTTTGCTGTATTAAAAGTAGGAAGCAAACTTTCATGAGGACAAAGAGCCATCAAGATCTTGAGGTCTTCATTCAGAACAATGGACCTCTAGCAGTAAAAAGATACAAATTTTCGGATATCAGAAAAATGACCAACTCATTTAAAGATAAACTGGGTCAAGGGGGTTATGGTGATGTGTACAAAGGTAAGCTACGGGATGGTTGTCTTGTGGCTGTGAAGGTTCTTAATGCATCCAAAGGGAATGGAGAAGACTTCATAAACGAGGTTGCAAGCATTAGTAGAACTTCCCATGTCAATGTTGTCACTCTGTTGGGGTATTGCTTTGAAGGTCAGAAAAAAGCTCTCATATATGAGTTCATGCCCAATGGATCACTTGAGAAGTTCATCTACAAAGAAAATTCTTTGAAAACCACTCCACACTTGGAACTGGAAAAACTATTTGAAATTGCTATTGGGATAGCTCGAGGGCTCGAGTACTTGCACCGTGGATGCAACATACGAATTTTGCATTTTGACAAAAAACCACATAATATCCTTTTGGACGACAACTTTTGCCCAAAGATTTCTGACTTTGGGCTTTCTAAACTTTGCCTGAAGAAGGAGAGTATTATGTCGATGTTGGATGCAAGAGGGACAATAGGGTACATAGCTCCAGAAGTGTTCTGTAGAAACTTTGGAGGAGTCTCTGTTAAGTCCGACGTCTATAGTTATGGAATGATGATTCTGGAGGTGGCTGGAGGAAGAAAGAACAGCGATGTTCAAGTGAGCCACACCACTGATGCTTTTTTTCCGGATTGGATTTATAAGCATCTAGAGCAGGGAAGCAGCAATTTGGGATTGCCCAATCCTATGACCCAAGAGGAAAATGAACTTGCAAGGAAGATGATATTGGTGGGGTTGTGGTGCATACAGACAAAGCCATCAGATAGGCCATCCATGAGTAAAGTGATTGAAATGCTAGAAGGAAGCATTGAAGCCTTGCAAATACCACCAAAGCCTGTTCTAACTACTCCTATAAGAACACCAGCAGAATCAGAATCTACCACCTTATCATCACTTATTTGTTAATATATTTTCTAGATTAATTGGTGTACTGTACGTGTTTTGGGTGATTCAGTTCCTAGTCAATTTAAAGTCATTCTAATAAGATTTTCCGCTTCACATTTTTCTTTTTGGTCATAGCTCCATCTTGTTTTGTACTTTGTTGCTCATATGAGAGCTAACCTTTCCTAAAAGCACTATTTTGAATGTAGAAGAACTTACGATAAACTACAGATTTGCCAACTGCATTTTCTAGACATTGAATTGAAGGCTAAACTGCAGGATATTTGAACTGAGGTGTAGAACAATTGGGACTGCAGTGAGTAGGTTTCAGTTTTGTCTATGTGTTGATCCCAACTTGGTTTTAAAATTACTGTCACTGCTTGTTAGATGCAGCAAACAGCCGTATGCCAATTGGAGTTTCGGCTCAGATGTCATCATATTATCCATCATCAACATGTCAGTGTAGTTTGTTTTGCAGTTCTGTTTCAGTCAGCTTTGATTTCTGGAATTGTACGTTTAGGGAAATTTGTCTTTACTAGATGACTTGCTAATAGACAACGCATTTAACGAATAAAACAATTAAATTGTTAAAAATATTAGCTGGTTGAAAGAAAACAGATAAACCATGTAGCCTAACTGCACTATACACTGGACCTTAGCATACCTCTGTCGGCTCTCACATAATATCTACAACTCATTCAACAAAATCACAAGTTTTGTAGATGAATAGGAAATGAAAGCCATGACATTTGGCGTATGGTAAACTTAGAAAATTGACAAGGAAAAACTTTAACTGCTACCATTCAGTGTTGTAGAGCTGCTAATCTAATTTAATGTCAGAGAATCTGGGGAAGGAGGCAGTGACCACTCTTTAACAACACAACATCATCAGCTGAAATATCAATCTCCTCTGCCTTTTCTTTATCAAAGTCCTTACTCTGGATCCGCTGTAGCTCATCTAGCACATCAGGCATAGAAGGTCTCACGTCCTTGTCACTTTGCAGACACCGAAATGCTAATTCTGCCACTGCAATTATCATTTTTCTTATTCTGTAGTCTGATTCAAACCCTAGGCATGTGTCTACTAGCTCATGCAATGCATGGTTTTGAATCTTGTTGATAGCCATGTTCGACAAATTGATCTCATGTCGATGCCTTGTGATATCAACAGCAGGCAGGGATGATATGAGCTCAATCATGACCACCCCAAAGCTATAGACATCACTCTTACTAGTAAGCTGGTAGCATTGGTTATACTCAGGATCAACATAACCTGGAGTTCCTTGTGGAGCTGTTGAGATGTGGGTGACATCAGTGGGGAAGAGGCGAGATAGTCCGAAGTCCGCTACTTTGACACAGAAGTTGTTGTCAACGAGAATATTCGTCGTTTTCACGTCACGGTGGATAATATCAGATGCATGAAGATATGACAATGCACTTGCAGTTTCTATGGCAATGTTCATTCGAGTAAGCCATGGCAGTGCACCAGGTTTTGCTCTTTCACCATGAAGATGCTCAGCAAGAGTTCCATTAGGAATGTATTCATATACAAGGAGGAGTTCACGGCTGTGGCGAGAGGTGCAACCATAGAGCAAGACAAGATTTTGGTGGCGCAGGCGAGCTAAAATCTCAATTTCATTCATGAACTGCTCAACTCTCTTGCAATTGTTTTCATATAGACGCTTGACTGCAACGGCTCTCCCATCACGAACATTTCCTGTATAAGAAATTTACAAATTAAGAACAAGAAGGTTCATAAAATGCTTAACAAAAATGAGTGAGGACAAAAGGGTGTAAGCTGTTACCATGATACACTGTGCCAAAGCCTCCATCACCGAGTTCTTTGGCTGAATCAAAATAATTAGTTGCTTCTTCAAGTTCCCTATATGTGAACAAATGCACTCCAAGGTAGGTACTTCCCTTCTCCATATCATCCATGGAAGTTTGTTTAGAAAAGACGCTTCGAGGTACAAAGGATGATGGAGCATATTGTTTTCTGTTGCGGCGTTGGTATACAAAGAAAACAACACACATTATAAGTACAGTAGCAGCAGCTGTGCAAACACCTGGGGACAAGGGAGAGATCAGAGATGGCAATTCATGAATAGATGACGAGTGAATATAATCTAATTGGGAAATGTGGTAAAACATCAAACAACTGAAGGAAAGAAGGGGGTTGCTGATATATTACCTACAATAGACTTTGTTTTCCAGTTCCACGAATTTTCTGCAAAAGCAATCAAAGAAGCAGAATTCTTAGAATATAAGTGATACAAACTTTAGGGGTAAAATCAAACATAACATCATATCATTTAATTAATCCAACTGATCTCGTTCGTTTTCTAAACCAGCTATTCATGCTGATGGTTTATAAACCTTGCAAATACTACAGAAGAAACCTCCACTGCTGTTTTTTGAAAATTTCAAGAATTACTAATAGTGATGTTTCTACAGAAGTACCATGGTCACAGGTTTGGGAATGAGGCCGGTCGCTGCAAAAACAGAAAAATTCATTGTTTTTGAATCCACAGCGCCCGCTACTCTTCTCACAATTGCTGCAATTTTGTGCAGTCCAATTCAAAAGAAACCCCATCTTCAAGATTTCAGTGTAGTTCATTTGCCACAAGGCCTCGACACCAACAGCCACATCCACAGGCAAATTCACCGGAGACTGGCATGAGTCAAATGGGTAGTTCATGTGCTCCACTACCTTCTTGTGAAAAGTAGCAAATGAATGATGGCTAGCATTGCTAGCACAGTTAATTGGATATGGATGCATGTACTCTATAGGCTCTTCGTCGCAATTGTAGAAGAAGGAAAAATCAATATGATCAGAAGAACTACAACTGAAAGGTGTTCGATCAAGGCTAAAGTTGTGCAGAGGGAGTGGACATTTATCATGATACACAACAGCGTTGGCCAGCACGAATGAATGGTTTGAGTAGAAGATATCTTTAATGATATAATCATCGTCGGAAATACTAAGTACTGGGTTTTCTCCATCGCAGGCGATCTTGAAGCTCGGGTAGCCACAGAAGGACTCTTGTCGATCAGAAAGCCAAAAGGGGTAGCTTATATTCGGACCATTTCCACATGTTTGAGGCTTGCAGGCCTCGTAGCTTTGGTCTAGAGAGGAAGTTAGCTTGGCTAAGGTTGTGAAGATGATGGTGATAATACATACATGGAAAGGTATTTTGCCTTTGAAGTGGCTTTGGAGGAGGAGATACATTTGGAGTGGATGATCAAGAAACAGATAGAAAAACAGAGAAGAAAGCATATAGTGAAATTAATGAGAGTTAGAAATGAACAGATGGTGGAAAATTCTTGGTAGTAGGTGTCTGATTCTATGATTGGAGTTTGAAAAAGAGGAGACTTGACTAAACAAACCAGTGGTTTAAGTAACAGTCGATTATTTCATGCCTTGGGAAACGTATAACTATTTCATGGCAAAGGAGCAACACCGTCCACAAATGATGACAGCTTTTGGTGGGAAGTTACCCACGCAGGACCATAAGAGAAAATCTTCCAAAATAAGACTTCGTTTTCAAAGTTTAGTAGCTTTTTCGTATCGAAAATTCAAAACCAAATACAACAATTTAGACAGAAAATGTTTTCCTAGTCAAAGAGAAAAATAGAAGCGCCACTAATTATTCAACGATATTTAGTGTAAGTATATATAATTTTGGCATACCATCTGCTGCTGACCTTTCTTTTTTTTATTTATTTATAAAGGACTGGGATTTAGAAAAATCAATGCTAAATACCCGAAGAAAAAAAGAAATAGGAAAACCAAAATTTGGTGAATTTCTAAAGGAATGAGTGGTGCAGCACTAGATGTTTCGGTGGACGACTTTTTTTTTTGGTTACATTGGAGGAAAGAAACCCCACTGGGGTTCGATCCTGGGTGCCATGGGGGGAAGGGGGAATCCACCACCACTGTGGTGGGAACCCATTGGCTTCGGTGGACGACTTTGCTTTGAGAGTTGTGGTTGGTTGAACCGAAAGTGTAGAAAGAAACTTTGATTGGGCTTAAAAGCAAAACGGAGAAAAAATATTGATCCAAGATGATGGAGATGTGCACTAAATCGAAGACTTATACTGGATTTCATTTTCACCTGTCAACATGACTAGTAGTATAATACTGGCATCCTAATTCGTGATTCAATGTGATCAGATCAAACCCATAATAAATTATCATATACTTAACTCTAATTCCTATCTTGACCAACAAAAATTAGTTAGTTGTTCTTTTTTTGTACAAACGTTATTGGGGATAGGGGATTTGAACACAATACCTCATATGCAGAGTTAACTGCTCTTAACTACTAAAGCTACAAGTCTCTTGCGAATTGGTTAACTCAGTTGTTGTTAGTTTAACTAATAGTAATCGTGCACCACTAAACCTAATCTCAATCAGAAGGTGGAGAAATTGTATGCGGACTTACGATTATAGGGCAAGGTTGGCGTGCGGTGCAGCGTGAACTATTTGAAATCAACAGACGCCTTATTGAATTCCATGATTCTCAGGTGGACCATTGACCTGGTCAATGCATACGTGGCATTTACCAACCACTGTTAGCACTTAGCAGACGTTATGGGTTGTCCTTATTTTATTTTTATTTTATCAACCGGGAAGGGTAACCAGTCAAATAGCATCACTTCTGGTGTCAATGTTCACTCAGGGAGGGTTTATATGCAACTAATATCTGAATGTCAATGTTCACTCAGGGAGGGTTTATATGCAACTAATATCTGAATTCAGATGGAAATGGAATAGGAAAAGGCTCTAATTAACCAACAAACTCAAGATGAAATAAAAACAGAGCAAAGATAACAAAACTTGTTGATGAGGTAGAGGCTAAAGCAGAGCAAAGAGAATGGCAGTTGCACATTTCACTTGGGACAGACAGAAGGATCACATGTTTTAGTTCTCTGTAATTATAATTACTTAACTAATCATTTCTTCTATGGGGGGTTTAATTGCAACTTATTCAGCCATCCCATTTCTAATTAAAAGTTCGTAATCTGAAGTGGTATCTCCAAATTCTGACTAATTAATGGAAACTCCATACTAAAAAAGGTTAAACCAGGAAAATTATGAACCGGGAAAAATAAGAAGGCATTGACATGCGTACCTCCAGAACTTGGACAGGTTTCCTCATAAGGATGGCCCCCGCAAAAGCAGAGAAAAGAGTCAGTGGTGATGTCGGATCCGCAGGTTCCATTAGAGAGCATGCATGGCCCACAGAGCTTCCATTCGGCATAGTACTCAACCCTGAAGCCGTGCTTCAAAACTTGTTTCAGTACATCCACCGTGTAATTCTCAGGCGGACGATCAACACCCGTCCACATTATGGGGACACTGATATTGTAGGGGCAGAAGGTCTCAGTCTGACCAGGAGTAAGCCTCGAGATAGAGTCGTCAATATAGATCGCAAGATCGTTTTGCGTACCCTCTATTTTGCAAGTAAAGTTATTTGCGATTGAATGATTGGTAGGAACGCAGCCATAGAACAAAGTCAGGTTCCGAACAGCTTGAGCGTAAGCGAAACGATCGTAGTCCAAAGTGGTGTTGACGAGCCTGCTAGTGCAAGGACTGTCCCAGAGGTCTGGGCGAGCAATTGTGATGATGTTAACTACACTGCTAATGTTCAAGACAAGGAAATCTTGTTCTTCAATACTGATAACAGGGTATTGATTATCTCGGCAGGTGAGTTCGTACCCTTCTCGCCCGCAGTGTTTGGGCCGACTGTTGGCTGCCCAGAAAGGGTAGGTTATGTTTTTAAGCAAACCGCAGTCGTAGATATTGCGGCACTCTGTGTATTGAGCATCGTCATCGCAAAGAGCAGAAGGGATCAACGCTGTGATCAAGTTGAAGGTGATGAAGAGGATGGGTAGTCTTAGAAAGATGTGGGCTCTGGGCATGGTCATCTGCAGAAGCTCATGGAGAAAATTAGAATTGGAGATGGAGAATTAATAGCAGTTTGATGAGAAGTAAATGATATTCATACCACCTTATCACGTTCAGAAAACATGAAGCAGATGGAAAGCTATTGTTATGCAATAGTATTTCAAAGAGGCAGACTATTATCTATTTTGAGGATCAAAGAAAGTGGGTGGATTTCTTCGTGACAGATATATAGAGACTGAGGAAACGACGGCTTATTATTGACTTGACTTCCATGCGTTTGCCTAAGAAATTTCCATTGGTGGACCCAATTTTTTTTTTTTTTTCCATTCAATTGAAAAGGCAAGTCTATATAGATAAACAATCAAAGGATGACTTACCCACCGAAAAAAAAAAAAAAACTAAAATAAAGGCCATCCTAATCCCACATGTATCTTATTTTATTGAACATCGAAGAACTATGATAAATTTTTCGGTGTGACACGACGCGTGTTGTTATTAAGCAACTGGAGGAGGCCTAACTGATATTGATTATTGTTGAATGATGACAAGGGAAGAAGCCTCCATTGATAGGCACAGGAGTGCAGTTTGGATAATTTTATTATTATTTCAGGGATGACGTGTCTCTGTGTTTATCTATATATATAAAGTAAAAGACAGAGAATAGTAAAACATTTAAAATACCAGAAAATATCCTTGATTAATGCAAATATTAAGAAGTGAAATTATTAATTAAATGAGGATAATATGGTAAATTCACCCCTTTTCATATAAAAAAAATTAAAATTAAAAGAAATATCAGATAATAGATTCTATTTTTATGGAACACAATTACCCATTATCTTTTTTAATTTTAAATAATTTTAAAATTTTTTTTAAAAAAGCTTTTGGCAGGCGCAGAAGCGCTTGCAGAGAGGCTAGATAATATTAATGGTAAAGGATTTGATTTGAAGTTTGAACTCTAACTCTTTATAGTTTCTAATTGTGCGTGTTTGAATTACAGATTATGTTCTCATGTACCTGCTGCAGGAGCAGGAGTAGCAAAGATGACTGGGTCAACAATACCTATTGGTATCGGTAGCGTGCATTTTATAATTTTGTTCACAAGTCCAAATGAAACCCAATCAAGTTCAAGTTTCGACAAATGTATGAGACATGCAGCATCTCAAGAAAGAAAAAAGGATCATTGTCAAATCTTGACGTGATCACACACCAAATCTTGCTTTTTTATTTTTCTGAATATTATTTGTGTACCAAATAAATCTTTTGAATATAATTTGTAAGTCTCATTATCATATCGATTAGCAACTTCCCAGTATTGCGTTGCGTAGACACTCACTCAAGTGAGTCAATGCCCATTTCTTTTCTAATGAACAAACCCAAATGAAATCCATCGATACAAGTAATACAAGTGCAAAATATTCCAAAGGTTTAATCATCCAAGAAAGTTGAATTGAATTATGACTCTCTGCATTTAGAACGGGTGTCTTTTTTCACATTTCACTTCATTTGGTTCATTATAATAATTTAAAGACCTAAAACATAAACGTCATAAACTTAGAGGCTGTTTGATAACCTTTTGGTTTTTACTTTTTTGGAAAACTGAAAACCGAAAATGTGTTCGGTAACTAATTTTAGTTTTCAGTTTTAAAAAAAAAATTGACATCTAATTTCAAAATAAGCCTAAATGAAAACTTAAATCAATTACCAAACAACTTGTGTTCAACTTTCACTATTAAACGCGTTTGGTTACTTGAGTGAGAGAAAATAAGTCAGGCCGTGCCCATAGTTTAGTTTAGGTTTTGATTTTGAGAGTGAATGAATGGGTTTTTTGGTGATAACAACGTTGTTAAATAACTAGAAAAATGCTGTAGAAAGAAGTCAAACAGGCCCACCCATGGTCCTATCGTAACCATCTGATGAAACTGTTGTCATGTCTGATTTTTCTTTTCAGTTGTTTTTTCTTGCCTTGCCTTGTATTTGGATTGGAAGACAATACTCACCAGCATTTAGTGACTTGAATTATTGTAAGTAAATTGGTTTCTTTCAACTGTTTTCTGATGTAAATTGAATTGCCGGCCAACGATTCATTCTCTTTGATAGTATCGAAATTTTGTGGTTTAGCTAGTTCATGCTTCTGCTTTATCAAGAAACCGTTTCATTGTGAATAACTACAGCAAGTAATTTTATACTATATGAACTTGAAACTTATGATTTTTTAGTTTCTATCCACATTTGAATTTGATGATGGAGACCTAATTAATGCCAATGCAGCATAAAAAAACCACAGAGAGAAGGGCAAATATTTAGAATAAACCAAAACCTTTCCCTTCTTTTTTCAGTGCCATTTGCTCTATCCTACCTACAACACCACCTCCCACGTTCACAGCAAGCAATGCCATCTTCTCTAGGTTCCCACACTGTCACACATACTTCTGCAACAGACTTAGAACCTGTGATGTTTGTTCATACTTCAGAGGCCCGCCGTTTGATTCCTTCCGCAAGTCGTTGGAATTCTATAGAAATTGACTTTAACCTTCTTCCTCAGTCTTCCATGGCCAACGATTCAATCCCTTCTCAGTACTCCAAGTCCTACCAATTCAACCTTGTTATCACAGATAAAAAGCACTTTAAACGTTGTCTTTACATTTCTGTCTCCACAGTTTTTCTTATCCTAGCTCTACTTTTACTGCTACACTTTTTGCCCTCAAAACATCATCACGATCGTCCTTCAAAGAATCTTACACTTGCATTGAACCAAGCTCTAACGTTCTTCGATGCTCAAAAGTGTAATATATTTCTACCATCATATATTTTATTAGAAACAGTTACATTATAGGATTTGCCATATAATTAATTTTTCATCTAATTTGCTGAAAAATTCTTTTTCATCAGCTGGGGTGTACCCCAATAACAGTCTGGTAAAATTTCGAGCAAGTTCAGGATTGCAAGATGGGAACTCAGGCAGTAAACCGGCTAATCTTGAGGGTGGTTTCTATGATTCTGGTAACAACATAAAATTCAGCTTCCCTACAGCTTATACTGTAACCCTGTTGAGTTGGAGTGTGATTGAATATCATGACAAGTATGCTGATATTGGTGAGCTTGATCATGTCAAGGACATAATCAAATGGGGAAGTGATTATTTGCTCAAACTCTTTGTTCCCCCTAACACAACTTCAGATACCATATTGTATTCTCAGGCAAGCCTTATGAACAATTTTGTACCATAATTAATAATCCTTTTTCATGAACATTATAATGGACAATTAGTGACAATATTCCTTGTTATTGTTTTTTTTTTCAATTTAGATTGGAAGTGCAAACAGCGATGCCAAGGTTCCTAATGATATAAACTGCTGGCAAAGACCTGAAGACATGGACTACAAGAGAACTGTTTCATTTTGCGATAACACAGCTTCCGATTTAGCAGGGGAAATTGTTGCAGCATTATCAGCTGCTTCATTAGTGTTTAAAGAAGACAATGTTTACTCAGGAGAATTAGTCACAGCAGCTGAGAAGCTATTTGAGAGTGCAATTACTAAGCTATACCCTGCTAGGCAAGGAACATACACCAAGGTTGACGCTTGTGGAGGAGAAGCTAGAAATTTTTATAACTCATCTGGTCACCAAGATGAACTGGTCTGGGGAGGAACATGGCTATTTTTTGCTACTGGTGACAATTCATATCTAGGATATGCCACAGAAGAATTTGACCATGCAGTGGGGAATGAAACAAGTGCTGATAAAGGGGTTTTCTACTGGAACAACAAGCTTACTGCTAACGCGGTAATTTTTGTTGCAAATAATCAATCTGGGAAGTTTCAGAAATAGATAAGCTTTGTGATCACAGTTCTGCATACATAATATTGTAGGTGTTGCTAACGCGTCTGCAATTTTTTCGTGATCTTGGCTTCCCGTATGAAGCTTCTTTAGGCGCATCCACGGACATGACGGACTCCCTCATGTGTTCTTATCTTTCTTCTCAGAAAATGACACCAGGTATTAATATATGGAAATGGAATGGATGCCTAGATCTACATGTTGATATGATGCTTCACTTCAAAGATGAAATGCATGTGCCTCAAAAATCCTAAATGAATGCAGGTGGATTGATCATCCAAAGGCCTAATCTTGGGGCAGCTCGTCTGGAGTATGCCGCAACAGCATCCTTTCTTAGTAAATTGTACAGCGACTACCTTGATCTTCTGCGGAGTTCTGGTAGGAGTTGCAGAGGTTTCGGCTTTTCCCTGGATATGCTGCGCAATTTCTCCACGTCTCAGGCAAGTAATATTGCATTGCATATATTAATTATATTATTATAGTCTTCAATCTGCATGCATTGTTTTCAGGTAAATTACATTCTAGGAGAGAATCCAATGAAGATGAGCTACATGGTTGGGTTTGGAGATAAGTTTCCAAGCCAAGTGCACCATAGGAGCGCATCAATCCCTTGGGATGGTCAATATTACTCTTGCAAAGACGGAGAAGATAGATGGCAATTCTCCAAAGACCCAAATCCCAATTTGCTTTTGGGAGCCATGGTAGCAGGACCTGACCAATTTGACAAATTTATAGATCAAAGGGACAAACAAGAGTTCACTGAGCCTAGCATATCAAGCAATGCTGGCTTAGTTGCAGCACTCATTGCACTTCATTCTCCTCCTTATCTTCCTTCTTCGAAAACCAAAGGCATGAATTTGGGCATAGACCAGATGGGTATCTTTGCTAAATTTTTGTGAAAAAAGGGAAATCTGCTGCACTACATTGATTAGTTTTTTTTTTTGGGGTTAGTTTGTGCAGTTTCAAGTTCATAGTTAAAGAATTGAGACCCTTCACTTGTGAAATCAAACTAAGCTTGCTGTTGGTTGTAACTTGTATGCTAAGCTTTGTGATTTACCAGGACAGGAGCATCAAGTAAAGTATTCTTTTGTGCCTCAACTTGCTCAATCATTATGGATCTCTGTGGTGCCACATATTGTGTTTGGGAAAATCAATCCATGCATGTCTATGCCTTGTAAAGAACCAGAACAACATTTGGTCAAGTCCTTGCTAGACAATGATGGGGATATTGGCTGGCCCCGACCAAGTTTATAATATCATTTTTAAAATAATAATAATAATAATAATAATCCACCAAACCCAAGGAGTACAGAAACACTTACAGAAAACGAGGATAATACTATTTTGCTATACCCGGGCAATCAAAGTATGCCAAGCGTGATAACTTTTCTATGTAGCAATTTGTGATTAGAAAATGATAGCAAAACAATGCTATCCCCATTTCATACAAATTTTTCTGGTAAATTACATGTGTGTTACATGTATATTGTCTTCTTTGTTGTTGGATGAAGCATGTATATATTGTCTTATCACTTAATTTTGTGTCATATATAGTTGAGTGGATAAGAGTAGGGCCACGAGTCAACCTCATTGTCTCCCTTTCTACCAATAAATACTTGGGCCCTATCCCATCTTCCTTCTTCATTCATTGATTGGGACATTGCACATATCTTGCAAAATATTCTCACATCAATTTAATGCACTAACCAATCAAATACCATTTCTATTTTCTATTTTCTATTTTCTATCTTGGGCGTCCTCTATCTAACACACAACCCACAACCCAAATTTACTGTTGTCAACTATATTTCTAGCATTTTCGGTTAAACCTAACATTCAATATGATTTATTTTGCATGATTCTACCAAGCTCAAAATTCAGACCAAAATTATAGGTTGCTGCACGATGAAGAAGAGGGAAGGAGAGAGCACGTCGGCTCGGTGGTTCTGTACTAATTAAGAATCCAACTGTCATTATAACAATTAGTTGTCCTGAATACAACATATATGTTTATAAAATTATTATAACAATTTTATTTTGAGCTTTGTACAAACAAAATTGCAACGTCATATTTTGCGTTTGTGAACCAAACTCAACCTATAAGTCTATGACCAAACTCAACAACGTGTTTTGATATGGACAAACATTAAGTACATTAAAATCCATTACCCTTCCTCTCATCAATGAGACATTCCATTTCAACCATTGAAAATTTGGTGATCGAAACTGCTGACCAGTACACAAATATATAGAAGGCCAAAAAATTCTAATGAAAAAGTTACCCAAATTCAAAGGAATATTTATTTATTCTTCTTTTTTGAAATCTGACCCAAGAAGCTCACTATTTATAAATTACCAAAGATGATAAAATAAAAATAAAAAATCACAATAATGAAGAAATTTATGAGTGAGTTTAATCATAATCTTGCGTGTTAGTAGGCTGGTAGCTCTCACTTGATTACAAGTGTGCACGTACCACCGCACCACCTACTACTGAGCCTCGTGTCTTGCACGTGCCAATGTACAGTAAACTGTAAATGCCAGCTCACAAACTAACCCACCAATCACAATTCTGCAACTACTTCACATCACCTATTTCCTTCCCAAAATATTTTATTAATTCATTTACCACAATAACCAAAACCAATATTACCAACAAACAAATAAAGCTGTAATAAAATAAGAAAATATTATTATCTTCGTCTTCATTTATAATACACACTAGTTCAAGCTTCCCCTTTCCCGGTGCTTTCCTTCACGCTTTGTTTCTTTCTTCCTTCCCACAAAAACCATTCATTCGGCTCTCATTTAATCCGCAGTGCTTTCTCTCTAGGCTTTCAAGCTTTCCGATCCAATTTTCCGGTTTTTTCTATTAATCATACAACGCTTTCGGGCTTTGTGAGTTTCTTTGATCTGATCACTTGCAATACAATCTTTTTTTTGTTTTGTTTTGTTTTGTTTTCAATTTGGGATATCAAAGATAAATTTTGAGTTTTCTATGCTGTTTTTGGTTACCGAGAAATCGCTAGAAATCCCGGACGAATGATCGCTTTCCTTCTATAAATATCAGCATCTTATATATATATATCTAGTACTAATTTGAGACTTTGATGAGCTAAAGAATCAGTCACAGAACACCTCTTTTTATTTGTTTTCAATTTGGGTGAGTTGTATTAATTTTTCTTTCTTGAGAACCAGACAAGTAAAGAAAAAAACAGAGTATATTGCAAAGTTTCTACCTTTTCATTGTAGTTTCCTCCGTTTTCTCAGTAACGAAGCGGAGGCACTAGTTTTATTTGAAAAGGTCTGAGCTGTGCAAATGTTGGGAAGTGGGTTACAGTTTGGAAATGTACGTGGGGAGGACAGGTTTTACATTCCTGTGAAAGCAAGAAAGAGATACAATAATCAGCAAAAGCAAGCTAGGAAAGCCAAGAATGATGCAAACGAGAACCCCAAAGAGCTTCCAAAGAGCAAAGTTGTGGTTTCTGAGAAGAGAAGCCCCAAAGAGCCTCCAAATACATTGGCAAAGCCTTCTTCTGAGTCATCTCTAAAGCCTAGTAGTAATCTTGACAGGCTCTTGGAGTCCACCACTCCTTCAGTTCCTGCGCAGTATTTCTCTAAGGTTGATCATATCTTTATGTTTTATCTGTTGTGCTTTGTACTTGGCTGCTCCAAAATTGTCTGAAAATGTGAAGGAAACTGAGTTTTTGTTATTGGGTTTTCCATATGTGGGAGAATAATAGGGGCTGCACTTGCCAAGCCTTGACCAAATGAAGCAAAGATTTTGACCATGTCTAGTTTGGTTTCTCAGACGGCATGTTTTGCTGATGCTAAAATATATGAGAACGTGTAGAAAATGAGACTTTTTACCTTTGGAGTTTCCGTAACTTAGGACTTGAGATAATTATAAGCTACACTTAAGTGCAAAAACAACTTCAGGATAAGATTTATTGCCTATCTACTACACTGTTTTGTTATTTCAATGAGGAGTTACTTAGTTTTGCAATCCTCTAAAAAATTGTTTCTTTTGGTGCAGACGACAATGAGGGGGTGGAGGACTTGCGATGTTGAGTTTCAGCCTTACTTCACATTGAATGATCTTTGGGAATCGTTTAGGGAGTGGAGTGCATATGGGGCAGGAGTGCCATTGGTACTTAACAAAAGTGATTCTGTTATTCAATATTATGTTCCCTATTTATCTGGTATCCAATTATATGGGGAATCTTCTGTGAAGTCAAATGCAAAGTCAAGGTATTAAAGAAATTCTGGTTGCATTCATACATTTGGATGCTAGTTTGTAATCTTTGGACAATACCAGCAATTCTGATACATAAATATTTGTTCTGAAATCCAGTTGAATTTGCTTTCTTTGTTGCACGCGTGTTGTTTACAATGATTATTTAGTTACACGCAATCTTATTTTAAATGATTTGGTGGGCAGGACGTTGGTTCTATTGCAGAAATATCAGTATGATGCTTTATTGTCGACATTCCATGACTAGTACTATTTTTTTTCATGAAATTTAATCATACAATGTATCATGTGCTGCTGATTCAATCTTTTTCTTCAATAAACTAGTACCATCTATGTAGATGTGGTCATCACCATCAAATGGTTTCTGATGAAGAATTGTATCACTTTGTAGATTCATATCTAGGATGCTTAATTGATCAAATTTCTGTTGTAAAGTTATGGTGAGACACTGGGATAGATAATGATTTGGTGCTTGGAAACTTTATGTGTTGATTATGTTCAGTTTCATTTGTATAGAATCTCAATTTCTCAAATTTCTGCCAGTCATTGCCCTGTTCTCCACTCTTCTGCTCTCTTTTTGTTCCATCTCTATTCATTTTTTTATGCATTTCTTGTTATGAACTTTTGTCTCATGTAGTCTTATGTAATTCTTGATAATATATATTCGAGTGTGTGATATGGTCTATCGGCATCTAACTGGGCTTTGATTTTCTCTCGTTTGATTAGGCAAGTTGGTGAGGACAGTTATGTTGACTACGATTTGGATTCGAGTAGTGATGCAAGCAGCGATTATGAAGTTGAGAAACACAAAAAGACTGCTAAGGAGCAGCAAGCTCTTCACCGTTTAAAGACGGATGTTCCTATTAGAATGGGCAGATTGTCCATACATGATGAACACCCTTTGCTACAAGAAGGCTTTTCTAGTGATGATGGAGAAGCTGGGAATTCTCGTGGTGTCCTGCTTTTTGAGTTTCTTGAGCAGGATGCTCCGTATGGCCGAGAACCATTGGCTGACAAGGCTAGTTTATTATTTTGCTGCAGTGTATTTTGGCTAGTTTATTATTGCCTTATTTATTATTTATTATTGTGATTTTTAACAGATATCAGATCTAGCATGCCAGTACCCTGGGTTGAAGACATTAAGAAGTTGTGACTTACTGCCAGGAAGTTGGATGTCAGTGGCTTGGTAAGAAAACGTTATCTTTACTATTATATTGCCTTGTATGGACCAAAATTCAACTGCTCTGGTTGAATTTTGTAGGTATCCCATATATCGAATACCTATGGGTCCAACACTGAAAGATTTGGAAGCTTGCTTTCTGACGTATCATTCACTTTCAACACCCATGGCAGGTAATTGTGACTCTTTCAAGAATTGGTATTGTGGTATTTTGCCAGCATTTCGATATGATAAATTATTTTCCTTTCACTGGATAAGAATCAGGCTTCTCAAATCTTTATCCATATCATGAACCAGAACTTCTTTCCTAAGTTTGCGTAGTGGAAAGTTTCCCAAGTCAATCTCAATCCATTTCATATTTTCTTCAAAAACACAATATTGATGCAAACAATATTTGCATACTGTGCCACTTACCACGAATAGATTCTTATGTATCTGCCTGCAGGCACAAACTTGGGGAGGTAAAAGGGTCTGTTTGGAGTTAATAACTTATTAAACAAAATGAGTGAAAAATGAAAAAAAAAAAAACGTTTTTATGCTTCTTGCTGGTACTAGATAGCTGGGTATTTGTGTTTGGCACAACAATATCTGCTTGCCTTAGTTCTGAGTGGTTAGTGTGTACTTGTACACAGGAAGGGGAGGGAGGGAGAGAGAGATAGAGAGTGGTGATGAACTGGGGGATGGGAAAGGATCCTGGATATGTTTCTATTTTGCAGCATTACAATTACCTGTGAAAAGTTTGATGATAGAGATCTAACAGCAGGAGGTAGCTCTTCTATGTTCTTTCTTGGGTTTGATGATAAGTAACGGCTATATTTCATGATATGAGGCGCTCTATAACATGTTATTTACTGTTATCTCTGTGGTTATGCAAATGATTTAATCTACAATAATGTTTATTCTATCTTGCCATTGTTGATACCCTAAGAATTTTCTTTTCTTTTGGGCAGGTAGTGGAAGCACGCAGGCTCCAGTGATGGTCTATCCCACCGAGATGGATGGTGACCCAAAGATTTCCTTACCTGTTTTTGGAATGGCTGCTTATAAGTTAAAAAGAACAATGTGGACACAAAATGGAGTAATGGAGTGTCAACTGGCAAATTCCCTGATGCAGGCTGCAGGCAATTGGCTAAGCCTGCTTCAGGTCAAGCATCCGGATTTCCAGTTCTTTGCTTCACACGGCATGTACTGCAGGTGAAATTGAAAGTTGTTTCATTGATGCAATGCAACTACCTTAGCTTCCATTCCACGAGTTACAAGCCTTGAAATTGAATGCTTGATCCATGGCCATGTTGAGGTATATGGTATATGGCATATACGGCTGGGAGGATGCTTGGAATGCCCTTGAGAGGTCTTTTCAGGTGTGAATTTTGTGTTCATGAATGCAGAATGCAAGAGAAGAAAAAAAACAGAAGAGAAAGCTGGCATTTACAAAATTTAAAGATAAAAGAAGAAAAATAAAAAAGAAAGAGGAAGCAGTGAAAGAAAAACCCAAAGGCATGGAAGGAAGGAACAAGAATAAGGTCAAAAAGACCAGTATAGATGAAAATGGAAATGGTGTATTAGATATGTATATTTATGTTGATCTGTTGGTTTTAGGAATATTATGCATATTTTCACAAGTAGAGATGTAAAGCAGATGGATGTTTAAAATGTTGTGCTGCTTCAAATTGGTCTGGCTTTCATGGGAAAAAATGAAAATCCTTCCTTGGTTGGGTGACGAGAAAATCGGTGAGGGTACCGTATATCAGCCACACGATTTATCTGAATAGTAACTTCACTTGAGTTTAATGAAATGATCATGTGACAAATATGAAGGTCCATGTGAGGGTTTCATATTTTGCACCATCGCTGTAGAATTTCGCAACACTGAACTCAAAAGAAAGAATTTTAAGTTCAAGCAGGTTCATGTTTTATAAACCAAATGAAGCCACCACGGCCCTTACTCTCTGAAGAGGAGGCCCAAACTCAGATTCGTTTGAAGGGGCCACGGTGGAGAGCAATAATTGAAACTCTTTCATCCTTTTTGTCCTTTTGTGTAAATAAAAGTAATAAATAAAATAATAACCGTTAAGACTTGAAACTCGGTCCCGCTTTACTCGGAGTTGGCGATTTAACTCACGACAACGTCTGGGGACAATTCGGCGTGTAACCGTAAATTTGCCCAATATTTAATTAATAAAGCCGAAGAAACAAAATGAAAGAAAAGGAAAACTAGCCGTTGGGAGCCTCGGATTCAAAATTGAATAATAAAGTCAGACTGAGAGAATAAGGCAATAGCTTTTCATCATTTTCTTACGACTCTCTTTCCCCTTCTTCTTCTTCGAGTCCTTGAATTCGACTTCAAAGCTCTGGTCTCAAACTCAAACGCTCCTTTCATCTCTCAATTTCCTTGGGCTGAGATTTCCAGAAGTTTTCCGGTCGAGTTCGGCTTGTTATTTCTGTGAGTTTGCTTTTTTAAACTCATCTTACAGATTTTCACTTTCCATATATGTAGAAAAATCAGTGGATATTTGATGAATCCAATCGTAATTGGAAACAAATTGATTCTTAACATGGGGCAGGGGAATCATTTTTTTGTTTCCTTTTCTATTATATTGTAAACATGTTCAAATTTATTTTACAAGTAACTGTTCGAGTCGAATTCCTTATTAGAAATTTGAACCAGTTAGATAATTTTTCGTTTTTGCATATGGATAATCTTTTCCAATATTCGGTGTTGTTGTTCCTGTTAGCTCAGTTAATCCGGTAGATTCAGAATAAAGATGACTGTCAAAACTCCTGGAACACCGGCTTCGAAAATAGACAGGACACCAGTATCAACACCAACTTCGAAAATGGATAGGACACCAGTATCAACTCCAGGTGGGCCAAGAGCTAAGGAGGAGAAGATTGTTGTTACCGTGCGTTTGAGGCCTCTGAGCAAAAGGGAGCAACTAGCAAAAGACCAAGTCGCGTGGGAATGCATTGATGATACCACAATTGTTTATAAGCCACCGCCTCAAGAACGCTCAGCTCAACCGGCCCCATTTACATTTGGTAAGGAAAAACCTCTATGTTTCTTCTTTATAATTTTCTCCTTCCTGATGATGGCTCATGTTTGTTTATTATTCATTGGTTTCTTCTGTTTGCAGATAAGGTTTTTGGTCCTTCTTGCGTAACTGAAACAGTATATGAGGAAGGAGTGAAAAATGTGGCCTTGTCTTCTTTGATGGGCATCAATGGTAGTGGGATATCCTTAGCCTCGTATCGCGTCTTCCTTTTAATCCTTAACTTGCATTGAACATTTGTTTTACTTTATCTTGCACTGCAGCAACTATATTTGCTTACGGCCAAACTAGCAGTGGGAAGACATACACAATGAGAGGAATAACAGAGAAAGCTGTCATTGATATCTACAACCATATAATGAATGTAAGCTTAATCATAGTGAAGTAACAGAAATTATGAAATTCCTAGTGAAGATTATATAACTTCCAAAGTAATGGTGCTCTTATGGTTTCATCGCAGACTCCAGAGAGAGACTTCACGATAAAGATTTCTGGACTTGAAATATACAATGAGAATGTGAGGGACCTTTTAAACTCAGAATCAGGCCGTAACTTGAAGCTTCTAGATGATCCAGAGGTACTATCGTAATACGTCGCCTGAGTGTGCTCTTTGCCTTATTCTTTTTTTGTTCTTTACTCAAGTTCTAGTATTTTCTTATTGTAGAAAGGTACCGTGGTTGAGAAGCTGGTGGAGGAGACTGCTAGCAATGATCAGCATTTGAGGCATTTAATCAGCATTTGTGAGGGTAAACCAGCGGATCCCTTTGGCTTGAATCAGCTTCTTTTACTCTCCCAAAGTTTTTGCGTGAGAAGATAATGAATTTCCTTGTTTTTGTGTAGCCCAAAGACAAGTTGGTGAAACTGCTTTAAATGATAACAGCTCACGGTCACATCAGATAATAAGGCTGGTCAGTTCATTGATCATACTATCTTTGACTCTAGTTAATGATGTTTTTTTCTTCTTCTGATGACTTGGACATTGTACAGACAATTGAAAGTACCCTCCGCGAGAATTCAGATTGCGTGAGATCTTTTGTTGCAAGCCTGGTAAAACTAAATGGAACAAATTACTCTTCCTGCAAATCCAAGTTGCTTCAATTATTACTTTCTAGTCAATAACTGTCGATATCAATGATCTGCAGAACTTTGTAGATCTGGCTGGAAGCGAAAGAGCTTCACAAACACATGCAGATGGTGCTAGGCTGAGGGAGGGTTGCCATATTAACCTTAGCTTGATGACACTTACAACTGTTATTAGAAAGCTCAGGTCAGAATCTATAGCTGCATATCTTTATCTTGTGAGGGATTAGAAACCCTTTAACGGATGTTTTCATTTTCAACATTCATGCTTTGATATGCCATGATAGCAAAAGAATGGTAAATGAGGTTTCTGAATGCAAATTTCTGTATCTTGAAATTTTGATCCTTTGGTTTAAAAAGCCTACGTGTCCAGTTATGGAGTTTACTCTTTGAAGATTATAAATATTATAGGGTGTAGAAGCTATCTGGTAATGAGCACCCATTAGAATTATGGGAGTGGACACTCGTTGTCTAAAGGACAAAAATACCATGTCAGGGCCTAAGTAGGAGATTATGTGATTGAGATATATCATACATATATCTAATCTATAATCAATTTTCTTTCTTACCTATATGAACTGTTTTGATTTGCAGCGTTGGGAAAAGAAGTGGTCATATACCCTATAGAGACTCAAAGCTCACTCGCATATTGCAGCATTCTCTCGGTGGGAACGCACGCACTGCCATCATATGCACCTTGAGTCCAGCATTGAGCCATTTTGAACAATCTCGAAATACTCTCTTCTTTGCCACCAGGGCAAAGGAAGTAACGAATAATGCTCGTGTGAATATGGTACTATTTATTTGCTTGTAACATTTTTCAGTTTGCATCTGTACATATTGAGAATAGATAATCTAGTTATCTAGTTATTGATATATGTAAAATGTTTTTGTCTAGGTTGTTTCGGACAAGCAGCTAGTGAAACATTTGCAGAAGGAAGTAGCAAGGCTGGAAGCAGAGCTGCGCACCCCTGATCCGTCAACGGAAAAGGATTTGAAAATTCAGCAGGTAAACTTGCCATACTATGTCTTGCCCGATATTTTATTTGATGTGCTTGTAAATGTATATAATAAAATTACTTTTGGCCATGACTAGATGGAAATGGAGATGGAAGAATTGAGACGCCAAAGAGACCTTGCTCAATCTCAGGTGGATGAATTACGCCAAAAACTAAAGGAGGATCAACAGGTCTATTTCCCATTATCCCCTCTCTATCTCTCTCCCCCTCCCCCACTATATATGAATTGTATTTTAAAATGCTCATAGATTCTTATTATATGCCAACTTCAGGGTTCAAACCCATTGGAATTACCCCATCCCTCTGTGAAGAAATGTCTCTCATACACTGGTGTGCTATCAACAAAACTCGACACAAAGGAGATTGGTCGTGGTGATAGAGCAAGAAATACAATGCTCAGGCAGTCTATGAGGCAATCATCAGCTGCTCCTTTCACACTAATGCATGAAATCCGCAAACTTGAACACCTGCAGGAACAGCTTGGGGAGGAAGCAAATCGAGCTCTGGAAGTATTACAAAAGGAAGTAGCTTGTCATAGGCTAGGCAATCAAGATGCAGCTGAAACAATTGCCAATCTGCAAGCAGAAATAAGAGAAATGCGTGCTGTCAGATCAGAGCCAAAAGAAGTTGAAGTTGGAACTGTAGTTGCTACTAACAAGAGTGTCAGTGCTAATCTAAAGGAAGAGATTACGAGACTTCATTCACAGGGCAGCACTATTGCTAATCTTGAGGAACAGCTAGAAAGTGTTCAGAAGTCTATAGATAAATTGGTGATGTCTCTTCCTAGCAATTATGAACAGTACAATAGTGAGTCAACCCCCAAGTCTAAGAAGGAACCCAAAAAGAAAAAGTTGCAACCTTTGGCCTCAAGTAATGGGTTTATCAGATCACCTTGCTCGCCTCTATCAACTTCTCGGCAAATTGCAGAGTCTGAAATTGAAAACAGGGCTCCTGAGAATGATGATATTTTGTCTGGTGAGACTCAACTGGAGTCTGAGAAGGGGACTCCCACAAAGAATGAAGAATGTGGAGATGTCTCATCAAAGGAAAACACTCCCGTTGGGTATCGGCGTTCTAGTTCAGTAAACATGAAGAAAATGCAGAAGATGTTCCAAAATGCAGCAGAAGAGAATGTTAGAAACATAAGAACTTATGTAACAGAACTGAAAGAGAGGGTGGCCAAATTGCAGTACCAAAAGCAGCTACTAGTTTGCCAGGTATAGAAATGCATTCTTTGTGCTTTTTAATATGCCTTTACAGATTTCAGTGACCGAGTTGTTTTTTCCACGTACATATGCACATATAAATACATTCATTCAGTGTTAATCTTATGAAGAAATCTCACTTCATTTCAATTGGTTTATGCCTCTAGGTTCTAGAGCTAGAAGCAAATGAAGCAGCTGGGTACGATATAGAGAATGACGAGAACACATGTGAGCCAGAGGAGCCCATGGTCTCATGGCAAATAACTTTTAAGGAACAAAGACAGCAGATCATTGAGTTGTGGGATTTGTGTTTTGTCTCCATCATTCATAGGACACAGTTTTATTTGTTATTTAAGGGGGATCCAGCTGACCAAATCTATGTGGAAGTGGAGCTGAGGCGGTTGACATGGTTGCAACATCATCTGGCAGAACTTGGGAATGCTAGTCCTGCCCATGTGGGAGATGAACCCACAGTCTCTTTGTCATCAAGGTTCTTTTTCTCTCTCTTTCGTTTGTGTTTGTATGTGGCTGTTGCCAGGAAACTGGGTGAAATTTTCTAGTGTTTTAATAACGTTGTACCCTCTTCTGATATGCAGTATCAGAGCACTAAAGCGCGAAAGGGAGTTCCTTGCTAAGAGGCTGACTTCACGTTTGACTGCGGAGGAGAGAGATGCATTGTACATGAAATGGGATGTCCCACTTGAAGGGAAGCAGAGGAAGATGCAGTTTGTGAATAAGCTCTGGACTGATCCCCATGATGCCAAGCATATTCAGGAGAGCGCTGAAATAGTTGCAAAGCTTGTTGGTTTCTGCGAAAGCGGAAACATGTCGAAAGAGATGTTTGAACTCAATTTTGTGCTTCCATCTGATAAGAGGTCATGGATTATGGGCTGGAACCCAATTTCAAACCTTCTTAACTTGTGAGAAAGTACATTTTGTTGTAAGTACTTCCATTCTTTATATTCTGTACATGTAAATGAATTTTCAAGTGGTGTGAGTGTGACTTGGAACACTTGTGAGCACAATGCACACTATGCATGGTGTTGTTTCTGTAATTTTCAGATCTCAATAAAGAATTGATTCATTTCCATTGGTTACGTTACAAATCTGTGTACACACACCAACCATGGAGGGGGAGGGGGGGGTTATGGATTATCTCATTAGGCTTCTCTGCACCGCACAGCACAGCACCGCACATCACATAACTTCACCATCTTCTTTTTCTTTTTCCAGCAATTGGATTCTCATTTTGAAAAAGGGTGATGTTGAAATTTATTTAAAAAAATCCCTTTACCAATTGCACCAGAGAGACAAGCTATTGGGTTATGTTCCTGGGGCCAAGCAGCTGCATGCATATAACCAAATATTTGAAAACCATTGATTGTTCTTACTTGTGCTTGCCGGTCTTAGCTTTAAATCATTTACTCAAGTCTGGAAGTTCTCATTACTCGTTAGCATTTAGCAATTCAACACCTCAAAGTAGTTGAGTTGCATGCAGATATGCACTTTTTCTTAAGCTATTAGGAAAGAAGATTAGGAAAGAAGAAAGGGTAAATAAACTGAGTGAGGATACTGATAGACACGATTCAAATTCTCATTTTATATATATATAGACCACTTTACCACCACTACTACTGATACACCACGCAACAAACCAAGAGACTAAGAAGACACTGAAAATGCTGGCATGTGGCATGTAACAACAAGTAGTGCCTTTTACTAAAATACATAGCTTATAGAATACAGATGGATATTAATATGCCATAAAATAAAACACACCAAATTAAGCACATATGAGTTAACTCTCTCTAATCTCTATTAGGCAAATCATGGAACTAATTAATGAGCAAGATAAAGATACGTGCGCACGCGCACGCGCACACACACACATATATATAATATATATAAGTCCCTCCTTCCCTTGATTGTATTGGATTGTATTGCTGAAGGTGTTTGTGAGACATGATGCATCATCCATGGATGTATGTAGCTAGCACTTGGGGAAGGGAGTGCCACAAGTCCTAGCAACTTTCCTGGCATTTGGGGTGTTGACAAACTTCTTGAGGTTGGGGTTGTTGAGATACTGGCAGAGGCAGGGTTTCTGTTGCTTGATCTTGCTGCAGCATATTGTGGATGGAGGAGTTGAAGAAGTTATTGCTCCTGCACAGGGACTTAGTTCTGTTGGGTTGCATGTTACTGCCATTGAAACATCTGCTTTGCCCAACAACACCACAACCACAAGGCACAATGCAATTGCAATGTATGAATATGATGCCTTCATTTTCACTCAACTCTCTCAAAGCCACAGAGAAACAGAGAGACTTGCAACTATTGATTATGCTTGGCTTGGCTGAGTGGTGATGCATTTGGCTTGGCTTTCCTCCTCTATTTATAGAAGACAAAATATAATAGAAAAATAACCGCCCATTTGATTTTCTTTTTCCTTTTTTCAAGTTACCCAAAAGTTTTTTTATTTTTTATTTTTTGGTAATAAGTCACCACCTAAGATAAATTAGTTAAAGATAAATAAGTCAGAGAAAGAAAAAGCCTTGGGTTTGGCCCATTTCCAAAAGGAGAACACTCAAATCAAAGGTGAATAAATTGCTGCTGCTGCTGCTTGATTCAATGATATGAGAGACAGTCATTTCCAAATAAAAAAAACCTCAAAGGCCAGCTGCTTACCTTCTTAGTGGAAGTGGAACACATATTTCTCAAGTTGACCTTTTAACCCAATACACAATCAAGCACTCAAATTAGTAAAAGCTTAAGCTATTAGAAAAAAAACAAAAACAAAAACAAAGAAATTGGCTGTATCTGTATGCCATATTATGATTCCACCTAATGGATGCTATATGTTTGTTACCTCATAGTTAAAATCATAATTAACATTGGTGGCTGTATTAGCTACAAATTAAAGTTAATCATGGTTACTTAATGTGCATTATTAATTTAACGGTGCATACGTACATACGTAGGTACGTACAAATGGAATTTGAGTTTCTTCTTTGTGAGTAGCTTGGAGGCGATGATGCTCCCAATTTCCAAATTTGGTGGAGTCCTTTGCCACTCATCGTGATCCTTGTCCTTTGGTGGAGCTCCATCAATCAAATGACATTTAGAAAACTCAAGAAGCCCTAGCTTGGTGCTGGCCTAATTAAAACCTTCTCAGCCTGCTTCATAACTCAAATCCTTTTTTGGTTTTTTGTTCTTTTAAAATTCAGTAACATTGCAGATTATATAGATTATTGCTCTGAATTTAATTAATTTGATGGGCATGGGAATATCCAATATCTTTCTCATAAATTAATAACAAAGTCTTGTGCGGAAAGTAGACCAGACCCATCCCTATCCTATCCACACTGATTAGGTTAATTAAGAAAACTAAACCATTTCATCTTTTTTTGATTGCTAGTTATGAAAGCATACGGTGCATGCTCTCCCACTTTAAAGTTTAAACCACTATGTGTATGTGTGTGTGTGTATGTGCCTTTCGGTGATGTTGATTTGTGAAAATTTAGGCAACTTTTTTATTTATTTATGAAATGCAGCCAGCCACATGTTCTCATCATTAATTTGACCTGCTTGCCTGCACTTGGAATTTTGTGTAATCATGGTTATAATCACTAATCATCATCATCCATCCTTGTTAATTGTTATCCATAATGCAACAAAATATGCAATTCTTTTTTGAGTTTCTTTCAAATGTATTATTCTTTGTCATCAACAATGTACTTGGAATTTGGGAGCTTCAATATGAATATGAATATGAATAGCTGTCTGTCCTCGGTATGATCATCATATTCATAAGAAACATGACTCAACCAAACTAGTTCAGTTGAGTTACTCACTTGAACATGTTTGATTTGCTTTGTAAATTCATCTAACAAACCAGGTCATGAGTCCAATGGCAAATTTCATTTAGAGGTTGCGACAAAGATGAAATATACACGATTAGATGACTGAGACTAGACTAGACTGGACTAGCATATTTTTGGATGCGATTGAATTTTGGATAAACGGATTAATAGTAGACACGTGTAAAATCTTTTTCCTTTGCAGGCGCTTCTTGTCTCCGACTCTCTTCAACTTTCATTTTCTGCTGACCTTTGCGACAAATTATCTCCAACTTCCTATCTCTTGGTAGAAGACAAAGCAAATCTGTCCAATTTGTAAAAAGAAAGATCTCAATCTTCCCTTGCACATCACATGCATCTTATACTTTCCTACTCTACAATACCACATTCAATGTAATCTCTATAATCAATGTGACGTGATCTGTAAATGTGGTACAAATGATTTTGATGTTGTTGTTAACATGTAAATTGTTCATGCTACTGCAAAGTTACCCCAACTTTTTACCTTGTACCTAGGGTTGTTATTATTTAGGCATGCATGCCAATCCCATCACTTTTGAGTGCATTGGTTTGGTTGTTTGTAGAATGCAGCAGAGTGATAGGTAATTATCAATGTCTTCATGAAAAAGGCTTTACCAAATCGGCGTGAAACAAGAGTAATTATGAGTGAGGGGGGATTAATGGCCCCATTCAAGGTCAAATTCTGAGTGCTTGATATCATTATGTGGTGTGGGCCATTGAAATGAAATCATGCTAAAGTCATTCACTTGTTTAATCCAAATCCTCATGCTCACCTTTCTATTATTGCCTACTTTAGTCAAGCGTTGAATTGAAGCATCACGATCTGTCCTTGATACTTGATTGTCTCACAATGATAAGCTCACAATCATAAATAAGCTCCTTATAAAATTTTATTTTAGAAATAATACAATCTTGCATTCTGACCATATAAACAAGTAAATTTGTTTTTCTTCAATGAATCTAAATCTAGTACATAACATTAAACTTAAATTAATATATTTTGAGATGTGGTTTGGTTTAATCTTCTAAACTCTTGTTGTTTAGAGTTGAAATGAATCAAAGAAAGAAAGTGTACCAATTTCGGTCGGTTGAAACATGCGTCATTATACCAACGTAAGCACAAATGCATAATAATGCAGATGAAATATTATTTTTCGAAAGGAGGTTGATCAGGCATGCATTTGGGAAGCATCATTGGCCATTGAATTGAAGTTCATGGGACATTGAGAGCTAAAGGACTGTTGGGTTTTTGTCTGTGGGAGAAATGGTGGTGGTGGTGGTACTGTAAGTCAAAACTCAATGATACATTTTAAGTTTATCCAGAGTCAAAACTCTCAAGTGCTCTTTGAATGATTCATTTTCTTCAAGATTTACTTTCCAACTGTCAAAAGGAACTAGTTATTAACTTATATGAGACCTCAATTGAACATCCTTGAGCCCAGGATCAAATTATTCAAACATTAGAGGCATATAGGTTGCGCATCAGGACATGACACGACACATGACACAAGAAAGTTTCTCAAAAGCAGGCATATAGGTTGCCTTACTACTTACACAAATGAATGAGCTGATCAGCTAAGCTATCCTTTGCAATGCTGAATGCTATTCTCATAATCTACAAATTTCAAATGTTTCGCCTGAAAACACATCTATCATATCAAATTTTTAGCACTTTCTGTCTTATTGAACAGGAAACATGGTCAACAAACAACAGGATTTCAAAAGCTCCACAGCTCTAATTTTCTTTTTCCCCCAACCAAAAAGACTGCTCAGAGTTCAAATGTTGACCAGACAGTTTGAGCCATCATATCTGCAGATATTTCTGCATGTTTAGAGTAACAAAGGAGATGATAACAATGAATAATTCCTTAGTTGCATACGAATTGGAAACAGAATCAGATGGTACCGTAAGCTTAAGACTTACCAAGCAATATTTTCCCAATGAAGAAATCCACCATGGCCTCTAGCATTTTTGAACTTATAAACAGCACCCGAAACTAACCACAAGATAAAAAGCATAACCACATTGCCCAATGGTAATCATAAATGAATGGAATGGAAAAATGCTTTGATGTTTCAATATATAAAAATAAACAACTCATTCAAACAGAGTTCAAAAGTTACAGACAGATCAGAATACCTTCATAACCCTCCCGAACTGGATCTTCCGAAAGCAGCAGGGGGGTATCTAGGTCAACAAACCTGTACAAGATATTAATACTTAATGATGGATTAAGAAGTAGAAAGTGAAAATAAATAAAATAAAGAGAAGTAACAAACCAGCAGGATATGCAGACAGTTCTTCTTTTATACAAAGGATGGTAATACTTACTTAAAGCACCCAAGGCCAGCAGCAAGGTGGCCAGCAAAGCCCATGGCCAGTCTAGTCTCAACCATACCACCAATCATCAAAGTTAATCCCGATGCCCTTGCCTCCTCAATGATTTCCAGGGCCCCAACAACCCCAACTTTAGCAAGTTTAATGTTAATGACATCAGCAAGATTTTCTGCAACTATTTTCTTAACATCTACTAAACTTCGACAGCTCTCATCAGCTGCAACTGATACTCCATATTTGTCTCTCGCGATGCGACTAACATATCCAAGGCCTTCCCAATCATCTCTATGAACTGGTTGTTCAAAGAGAACAGGACTAACTCCCACCTCTGAAAGCAAAAAAGAACAAGAAAATATTTCAGTCGATAGCTAGACATAGTAATCAGAATACTGTAATGGGAGTACAGAAACTCATTTACAGAATTTGTAGGTTGAATGATGGTGATCGTGTGCATGAGCTTTTTCATTTTTTCTACTTCTTGGGTGCTGGGAGGGGGGGTGGGAGGTTAAAGATGTTACTTTATCATGCTGTTTCCAAACACACATTAGTTAAATTCTTCATGTTACTTATTCAGAGCACATCTGCAAAATTGCAACTTCAGTTTCTGTTTGCAGAATTTACCATATAATTTATCAAGAACTTGGATAGCTTCCTCGGAGGTATATCCTTCATTAGCATCCAAGATAAAATCGCAACCGGGGTGAACTGCACGTATAGCTAGAAGGACTTCTATATCTGAAATCAGATTCTTTCCCACCTTAAGCTTTAAAGTCCTAAATCCTTGTTCACGATACTTTGAAGCCAATGTAGCAGCTTCACCAGCAGAAACAATTGGAATCTGCGCATATATAATTCAGTCCACTTTCCACTGAGTAAAGCTTATTTTGGGTATTCAAATAGATAAACTGTTTTTAACTTTCAGAACTACTCGAAGAAGAGCTTAACTGTTATATCAGTGGTTATGGTATTTGAAGCTCCACCAAACAGTCTCCATAAAGGGACACCAATACTCATAGAAACTGCATCAATTAGTGCCATTTCAACTCCTGCCCTAACCTTCAATTGCAAGTACAGAGTAATAAGACCTCTCAAACCCTTGTAATGTTATAAAATGAAGACATCATCAAACTGCTATAAACAAGAGCTGCTGGGTTCAAATTTTTTTTAAAAAGAATTGTATATGATTCTTACGATCAGGATTGTTTTAATTGAAGAAACCCATTATTTTCTTGTAAGTTGTAAGGTTTGTATCAGCACCATTAGAGGCACTGATCCCATACATGCCACTAAAGTAATAAGAACCTTTAAAGCTTTCTACTCATGGGAGCAGTCCTTGTTATTGGAACAATATCCTCCAAATTGATCCAATCTCCAAATAAATCTAGGAGATGGAATTAAAGAAAGTATGCAGAAGAGATCAATAATCCCTAGAATTGCCTGTTTATCGAACCAAAGAAATGAATAAAAGATGTAACTTTTTTCGTCCTTTCTTTTACTTTTTAAGTAAAACGCTTACTTGAGCAAACCAACTAAATTTGTTCACAATACCAACTAAATTTAACAGCCAAGCTGTTCAATTTTCAATAGTAAAAACCCAATCAAAGTAATATACTCAAACACCAAAACTAGCAAATAAACATATGAATAAAAGAGTAAACTTTCCCAATCATACTCACAGAAGCAAACTCATATCCAGGAAGAAGCCCACCAATCTCTCCCAAAAGCGAACCCAAGGTCTTCGCTGGACTGCGGAGCAAGAAGTCACAAGCTTCCCTGGCCTTAACCATGGCTGTATGCTGATCCTCTGCAGTAACAAAAGGTAAGATTGGAGTTTCACCCCACCCCACACACCCATTACTCAATTCAACCCTGATAGCCACATTCTCCACCTTGTCAAGCCTTGAAGTGGCAATCGTGAAAGGCGCTATCAGAGGAACATTCAGAGGCCTATTCTCCGCTCTCTGCACGTTTACTGTGAAAGTTTCCAACAAATTATTGAACCCAAAGGTGATGGGTGTGGCCAGAGCCATTCTTGGGCTGATCCTTGAAACGCGTCTTGCCCTTTTGGGGCTCTGAGTGGAACCAGCAGCAGAGCAGAGGAGCAGAGAGTGAGGTAGTGAGTGCAGAGAAATCCCAATTGATCCCATTTGGTGGCACTGAGAGTGGTCTTTACTCTTTGGCTGGTGATTTAGATTTTTGGGTTACAGGTTTTGGCAGTTCTGATTGGGTTGTGAGAAAGATTTGCAGACCTGCCAATGTTGTTCTTCCTGTTGCATAGAGCTTAGCAGAGCAGTGTAAGACTGGTGCCATTTTTTTAATTCAAATATTAATTTTTATTTATTATTACTTCAATTATTAACTATTTCAACAAGTGTTTGTCCTTATTTCTTCGTGTGCTGTGCTGACCCGACGTTAACTGGTGGAGGCATATTTATTTGGTACAATAACCTGGTGATATACATAACCCAATGGCGAACCCAGGTAGAAGATGAGTTAGTTTTGACTTTGACAACTTTTTTGCGTGCCATTCTTAATTTCTTTGGTTGTGTTGTGTTGTCATATTGCTTACAGTTACAGCAGAATCAATGTTTGTTTTTTTTCTTTTCTACATAAAAGATCGATATGCTTCAAAATTTCAGAACGCATGGGAGGATGATGGATTACAACATATTTTCTTGTCTTCGGATTCTTCATTCTTTTTCTATTTTTGGCAAATAATAAGAACATGGATGGATCATTCTCTCCTCAGGTGTGTGTCCCTTCGATGTGCCCAAAGGTTAATTAATGAACTAGTTAATGTTTATGTTTGAAGTTGACGTGTTATATACACACACCATATTCTAGAAAAGTAAAATCAGCAGTGAGTAGGTTAAAGTTGGCAAAAGGACAAATATGAATGGATGATTATGGGACTGATCGACAAAGTGGTAGAACTTTGGCTGCTTTCTTGTTTTGCATAATGCTTTGTAATCTCACTATAAACAGTATAAGCTACATTCAGAAAACGTTTCATTCAATCAATGAACAAAAGTAAATTATCACGATTTCAATGAAAAACATGGAGACAAGTGAATTAGGTTGTCTGAATTATTGTTGAGCCATTAACAAGTCTCTGTGGTGAGAATAGTTTAAGGTAATGAAAGGAGACCTTAATTAAGAGAAGAGAACCTTTTTTTTTTTTGGTCGAAAGAGAAGAGAACCATGGACATTGGTTTTTGCTGTCACCTAGGCAGCTAGGCTATTATATATACTATTAATTGGGTAGAAAAGGTTTGCAGGAGGCATGACCATTCTTTCAAGACAAGATCAAGTAGTGCTTTTTTCCAATTGTAGCAAGCGGGCATGCAAAGCAACCTTGAAACAAAGCCATTCCTTACTTTATAGAAGCTTACCTTACCACCAAGCTTAGAACCCCTCCCTCCCTCCCTTTGTCATATATGATTGATGTGATCATATATAAGTGCTAAGTAGATGATGATACTATAATATCAACGATTCAATTACGGCATTAATTCATACAAATAGTCAAGTTTCATTTACAACTTAGAATCCACCATGCCGGGGTTGGTATATTCATCCGATTCTGATGACAATATTGGCACAAGCCGCGGGGCAAAGCTCTTTGGACGTGAAAGGCCAATTCATCATGTTCTTGGAGGTGGAAAAGGTAACGTTTTATGTTATATACCAGACGTATCGATCTTCACTTATATAATAAACTTGCATCAATCTCATTTGTGTTTCCTCAGAGAAGAAAATGTGTTTTGGATTTTGTCCAGAGCGCGCACCAGTTTTGATGCTGAATCCAGTTGCCCTGTTTTGGATTTGTCCAAATTGAGAATATGTCTCTTTAGCTATGATATATGATGTGCTAAGACCTTGACCTTGTTAATAGTAATTAATAAAACTTGCAGTTGCGGACGTGTTATTGTGGAGGAACAGAAATGTATCAGCTGCGCTTTTGATTGGGATGACGGTAATATGGTTTCTTTTCGAGGTAGTCGAGTACAATTTTGTGACCCTCCTCTGCCACCTCTCCATCACCACATTGCTCGTAATCTTCATATGGCGCACGGCTGCAGAATTGTTCAGATTGTAGGTCCCTTCTCTTTCACTAATTTTATTTTTCTATATTTATTTATTGAGTAATATTTGAATGAATTAATGTACAGGACACCTCCTACCATACCTGGTATAATATTACATGAATCTACATTCAAAGAGTTGGCTTCCACAGTCCACAAAAGATGCAACTATTTCTTGTCAAGGCTTCTTGACAGTGCATGTGGAAGAGACCTACCATTCTTCTTCTTGGTATTTCAAGTTTGATCTAACCATTCACTACATTCACTCTCAACTCAACTTTTTCAATTAAGTTTGATCTCCCTTTCTCTTCTGATTTTCAGGCAATTATTTCTCTCTATATTTTGTCTGTGATTGGAACCTATTTCAGCTTTCTGAATCTTGTTTACTTGGGTAAGAAGTTGTTATATTTGTTTGTTATCATTCATAGTATATATTCCATTACAATATTATATATTAAAGTGTACGTATGAGATTTATGGCTTTATCTCTTTTGTTTGATTGCAATTTGCATGCAAATTAAGGGTTCCTTGGCCTGGAAACACTGCCATTTCTGTATGAGCGATTTGAGGAGGACGTTGATCGCCTAGCTGGAAAAGTTAGCAGAGAGATAAAGAGATCGTACAGAAAGTTTGATTCTCAGTTTCTCAACAAAATCCCAAGAGGCCCTGTGAAAGAGAAAACCAGATGAAACTTTGAATGGCATTGGCATGGCTTGGAGTCTGGACTTGGAATCATAGTTTGTGTGCCAGAGTTGCACGCATATTCAAATCATTATGTGAAGATATATGTGTAAATAACATTACCTATACTGTATTATAATTGTATATATATAAAACTGTACAATATACCATCAACATTGGTTCAACATAATTAATTACTTGATGGCTTTAGCATATCTGAAATGGTTGGTTCCCATTCCCATTCCCATTCTCTTGGTTGATCAACACTGTTTCCAAATCGAGTACCGTACGAAAAAGGCCAAACTTGCCATGACTAGTCCCAAATCGAGCAGATAAAATATTTATCTAGAAAGAAACACAACATAAAGTAGTCCTGTATTGACACATTAAGTTAATTAGGTGAGGAGGAGCTCATAGCTAGCACAACAAGTCCAATATTGGGTATTGCATTCATTCTAAAACAAGAGTGTGTGTGACTAGATATATGACACTAAGGAAGAAGCCCTTTGCAGATTTCCATGAATATATTTTTATACAACAGAAGCCTCAGCCTCTCCTATCTACCTCGATCATAGTCCTGGAGCCATCCAGCCAGCTGCGATGCACTGCGATGCGAAGATAATTAAACAGAAAAACACAATAAGTATATAACTTGTTAATTTGTAGAATAATAATCCACATATAACTTTTTTGGGTTCAACTTCAACTTCCAGAAGCCAAAACCACAAGACAAGTATTCTTTTAATATTCTGTAATGTACTAGTAAGTGGGTTCTCATAAAGGCAAATCGTTTCAGTTCAAATTCTTAATGGGAAACCATTATATATAGATTACTATACGTTTGGACTAGTACTAGCCGTCCCAGGTCAAAATCTCAAAAAGGGTATATTTATCAATCTAGCTAACCATGGTAGCAAATGCTTTGTCTTTGGAATGAGATTTTTTATAGGTTGAAGCGGTTACAGTAAGTAGCACCTATCAAAAGCATTGTGAGATTTTTTATAGATTTTTTATATTTATATCAATCTAGCTAATCATGATGAATTAACTATAGGATGATGAGTTGGGTTGTCAAATGAGTTTAAGGCTTTTGATAATGTTATTGAATGATGAAATGAAGCCTTATTGGAGGATATATGAGTTTGAGCCTAATTAAATTGGGATTGGGCAGTTTGATGCTTATGTGAATGCAGATCAAACAAGTAGTCATTGAGGAGGATGGATGATGATGGTCACATTGATTTTTTTTTTTTCTCCAATTGGAACAACAAGAATCCAACTGATCGCCTTTTTATTGTCTCTTTCCTTATCGATGCTCTAGTTGGAGTTTTTTGCTATAGCCTACTCCGCATTCCAATGGAGAAGAAATATTGTGGGAAGGAGGATACAAATACATGACCTCATAGTCTAGAAAACTACTACTTTTAACCACATGAGTTACAAACTTATCTAGAAAACTACTACTTTTAACCACATGAGTTACAAGCTTATGGCCGAAGATCTTAATTAAGAACCCTTGATATTGGTAGGAAAGAAAAGAAAAGGTAGGTTTTCAGTTGCAGTCTTGCAGAGGCATATAAATTATAATAACCACAACTGGTGGAATATTAAAGAGTACTAGTAGTTAAAGACAAGATCAGATACTACTTGCCAATTGTACCAATTCATTCCCATTTGTGTAAATAAAAAGACTACCTACCTATATATAATATATAATATATAATATATGTATTGTATTAATTGTACAACAAACTCTACCTTGGTTCTTCATTAATAACTTGATCGCTTTAGCATATGTGAAATGGTTGGTTCCAATTCATTCCCATTATCTTCGTTGATCAACGTGCATATATTTCCGATTCATTCCCAAATCGAGCATCAAGCTTGCATTGCATAAAGCCAAATGAGATTACTGCATGCGTTTTTGGACTGGTTGTAACCGTCCCAGGTCAAAATCTCAGAAAGGGTATATTTATCAATCTATCTACTATTAAAAATTATTATTCTACATTATTACCAGATGATGCCCATATTTGATGATTCCCTTACCCTGCCTTTCCCCTGGAAGTGGTGAGAGCACAGACGGTGCACAACAACAGACAACGATTTGGCTGTCACTCTCCCTAGTGGCAATTTAACTGTCATATTAGCATCCTTCCTCCTCCTCTTCCTCCTCTACTATTATATAATATATATATTAATATATATCATGATTGATGACAAGGAAGGAAGAGTGGGATGTGAATGCAACCCCAACAACCCATCACAATTTGTAGTGGCTGTGTTGACCTCCCACTCATCTTCATGTCAAACTCTGCTTTGCCTGCCAGTTTCTGCAACAAACAGAGAATCACATAAAGCCCAAAAGTAGACACACAAAGATCCCACTAACAAAAATCATTCTAGTTGGAATATTGTTGACTTTAGAACAACAATATAATTAACAAAGAAGTCTATATATAATGCCAATAGGGTGCTACCATTTTCATTCAGGGACTTAATTAAATCTACACAGAGAGAGAGAGAGAGAGAGAGAGAGAGAGAGAGAGAGAGAGAGAGAGAGAGAGAGAGAGAGAGAGAGAGAGAGAGAAGTAAGTGAAAGTCATTAGATGGTGAGAGTATGGAGAGAGATTGGTAGTGTGGATGGTGGTGTCGCCACTGCCAATTGGTTAGTGTTTTGGGCAGCTTTGGTCAGCCTCTGTCTTGTCTCAGCCGTAGTTTTCTCCTGTGCAGATGGTGTGTCTTCCAAAGAGAAGAACACATCAGGTGACACAGAGCTTTATGGCGGCGGTTGCGCTGCCGGGTGTGGTGCAGCATGTGGTGCATGAAGCAAGCTCTAAGAGTAAGGAGAGAGAGACACTTACTTAATTACACACATCCTCAAAATGAATGTGATGAGGTTTATTGCAAATTCCAAATCAAATTAGACTAACATTAGATTTCACTTCCCATTCAACTATTATTTGTATCAATCATTTGACTAGTTATATACTGTGGTTGATTATGCCATTGTAAGTTGTAACACATTTCCTCCATGAATTGTAATAGTGGAGGAGCACCTTGATTCATCTATCTAAGAATTTCAAAGCTACTTACTCTCCCTCTTTTTCTTCTTCCTTTTTTTTTTTTCCTTTTCATTTTCATATTTGATGTGCGTGTGCCTTTCATAACCACACACTGAGGAGGTGCGCCTTCGCTGCTAACAACTAAGCCAGCAATGAATGATGAAGAATATGAATATGCACATTATTGCAACAATAAGGCATATTTTTTAAAATTAAATTAAGTAAGAAAAACTAAAATTATGGTGGGGTTGGGGTACATCTTCCGTAACAACAATGCATCGATGGCTACAGGACATGTGCTATCCAACAAGATTTTTCATTATGTGTCTGTTTGTTCATGGCCCAAAATGAAAATGGAACTCCCGGTTAAGCAGTCATTTTTAAGTATAAAAATAAAATGTGCAAGAGAACGTACAACAACGTCAAGATGGCCGAGTTGGTCTAAGGCGCCAGTTTCAGGTACTGGTCCGAAAGGGCATGGGTTCGAATCCCATTCTTGACAATATATATATATATATATATATATATATTTTTTTTGGAGTTAATCGAACACATGAACTTATTCCTTATCATTGTTTTAAGTTGTTGTAGTGTGACAGTTGTGTCAAATCTTTCTCTCCTCTTGCAAGTTGAAATTGAAATTACTGGTGGAACACAAAGGTTTCTGATCCAATTTTCTTTTACTGTCATCACTGTCTATGTGACCAAACCACTCAAAAGGTCTGTTTTTATCCTACCCAAACTTTTAATGCCTGTTAAAATCTCCTTACACCATGATGCAAACCATGACAGGGAAAGGAGGTTGATGAAGCAAAGTGTAGAGGAAGTTTTCCTCCACATAGTGCAGAAGCTAAATATGAGTACAAAATGTTTTACATCACATTCAAAATCAGAAGACAAGCAATAATGGAACCTGTATATAATATTTCCGATAACTGAAACAGAGGAATATATTAAAATCAGGTTTTAGTTTAAGGTTTTGTTTGCTGCAGACTTCTTACGTTGCCAAGGAGCTTTCGAAGTTGTGGAGCATGTGCTATGAGCCTTACCAGGCAGAATATCCAAGTCAATGTCAGAAAATGAAGAATAGGATGCATAAACTCTCTTCCCTGATACACAAGCACAGTGCCCTGCATGCTGCGCTGCATGCCATCCGACCTTGCACGGAACCTTGATGCAACACCAGACAACAGCTAACGGGCACGAAATGCACAGCAAGCAGGCACTGCAGAGAAACTCTGTGGCTTTCTCACACCATTTAGATTTTCTCCCCTGAGAAGAAGTGTAACTAGAAACAGAACAAGAATTGGAAGGTCTTGCAATATCCATATTGCTTCATCTGATTTGTTTATCTCTCAAATTAAGGACCAGTTTTCTGTCCACCGTTCTCTTTATGCTGCTGCAGTGCGTGTTAGATAGTTCAATCTTTTTAAGGTCGATCCACATATTGCGACCTTTGATGCTGTATATGTGGCTATAAACACTGGTGAGCTATCTTCCTTGGAAAGCTTGCTGCTATTCTTTGTAAGGTTATCAACTTGCTGTTTGGTATTTTTTATCTCTTCTACTTTCTGTACATGTTTTTCACTTTTTATCCTCTTCCTAGACCACTTATGCCTGAGACGCCTTTCGCAATGCTAGATTCGTCAAGGACCAACTATGCCTTGGATTATCCGAAAAAGAACGGGGAAAAATAAAGGGCAACTGCCTTGGCAGGAAAAAGAAAAGGCAAAACCCTTCACAAGCCTATGATGGTTCACCAGACTATCAAAGCTATCACCCTTTAACTTTTTCAAGTATTTATAAGTCCACCGCCCCTATTCACCTGAAAGAATCAGATTCAAAGCATTGAATAATCAGTTTGCTTGGTGTAAGCAAAGCATAATTCAAAATCTTAAGGTGACTTGTTCACTGCATTTCAGAGTAGTGCATGCAGTCCACTATTGTCGGTTTCGCTTGGACAGAGATTTTTGTAACCAGTAAAACCTGGAAACCAACACACGGAGAAAAAACTTGGAAGAATTCTTCATCTCTGGATTAAATAAGTTGAAAAGGCCGCAAGAATATTGGCTAAACAAATGTTCATAGCAGACTTGTGAGCAAATTTGAGTCTCTAACAAGTAATTGCATCGATTAAATAACATCAATATAGCGTTAACGATCTTGTTAGTTATAACACCTCATCAAGGATAACTTAAACTAATACATTGAAAGATCTCACTCAGCAAAAAAGATCTTCAAAGGCATAGCACATGAACTTCAGAACAACAAGGCTCCAAGTGAAATTTTCACGGGGTATAAGGTAAAGACAATTGGCTGCCGACATTAGCAACTAGAAAAAGCTACCAATGCATACATGAAATATGCATTGGGAGTATATTTTCTATTGCAAATAATTATCTTGCAGTGAGGGTTAACCAATTTAAACAGCCGAATGTCCTGAAAATGTTATGCCAGAACTGGAAACTTATTTTTCAACAGGCTGCTGGAAATCAAAATCTCAAGCAGGCACTGTGCTCTTTCCTTGCAATCCCATGGTCTTGTTACGCAGCCTCTCCATGAATGCAGGATTTGCTCTTAATCTCTCCTTGACATATGAAACTCGAGCATCCTCAGCCAGTTTGTTAGCTTTCCCAGCTTCCTCGATGAGGGAAAGAAGAGTCCTAAGGCAATCCTTTCTATTTTCTTCTCGGTGTTCAAACCTTCACAAGAGAGAGAGAGAGAGAGAGAGAGAGATTATTTTCCTTCGCAAAGAAAAAAAAAACATAAAAAACAAAAAACAAACGTTTCAATTTCTATAAGATGTTGTAATGAAAGGAAGAATGTGCAGTACTACTCTATGTTGATATATCAATTACTTCTTTCACTCTAATTACATCAACTTGGGTGGATAAACTTTTTTTCCTTTTTAAATAAGACATCTTGGATGTATAAACTGATGTCGACTAAATTACTGCACATAACAATTTTCAAGCACTTCCATGACAAGTGAAATATTCAAGGTCCGAGCAAGACATAACAAAAGAATCTTCTCATACATTCTGCAAGGACGATAACTAATATTTTCTTTTTGTGCTACAGGAGTATGGGAAGAGGGGAAGAAAAAATAGTGCAACATTTAAGGTTGTGGACTAGATGTCTCCAACTCAAAAGAGATTCGGGAAACGCTAGTTCAGTTTTAGTAATAAAATGCACAATCATCAATATCATGTAGGGCATATAAGAATAAAAACTCTGAAATTTAAACAACTACTAACCCTAAGTACTTCAAATAATAATAAAATTAATAATAGAGAATGAGGGCATGCCGTTGACCTACCTCTCACTAGTAATTGTAAGCTCATCTTTCCCTGGATTGTATCGCTTTCCAACCAATTCTCTGAGCCGATGGAATTGATGCTTTGAAAGCCCAAGTTCTTTCACTGTGACAGACAGTTTCACTTTTCTATTCTTGGGATGCCATGCATCACCACCAGGAGCAAAGACTACCCGTGTTTGCCACCTAAGGATTGGCCCTTCGCCTGGAGGGTCATCTAGATCCTTTTTCTCGTCCGGTACAGCAGTCTCGTCAAATTTTGGGGGGCCATCAGCTTCCATCTTCTGCACATATTCCATGACAATCTCATCCTCAAACTCCTTAAACAACTTGTAAGCTTCTTCAGGCTCAAGTTCCCCTCTTTCACACATATCCCCTAGGTCATTGAACTTCTCTTCAACCTTCCTTTTCATGTCATCTGGAGAAGACAATTGCATTACAAATTATTCGAAAAATACCAGTTTGAATCAAAACATGCAACTTCCATGACATTGAACCAATTTGATACGATACCTGTCTGTGTGAGAAACAAAGAAAATACTTGACAACTAAAGATTGGGCATGAGCTCAGAAAATTAGACTTTGGGAAACATCTAGCCATGTAATGATACTAAAAAAGACAACTATTTCAATAATGTCAAAATAGATAAAAATGATTTATTTTAACAGTGTGGGCAGAGATGCCAAAACATACAGAAAGGTTAACACACAAACACAGCATTTCAAATAGGGAAGTGTTCTTGTTAGAAAACAGAGCATCGTACAAAATGGAGTAACTAGAAATGTATACCTGGCAGTAGCTTATCCCAGCTAAGCATATCCTCAAGAATTGCCTCACACTCTTTCGTATCCTTCATAATCCCATGATGAATTGCATCCTCAACAATATCATTCCACTTATTCTCATCCATGTTGTAGTACTCATCTTTTACCATCCTGTTCATGACTATATCCCTTGCGTTATACAAGTTATCAATCTCTTCATCCGTGTCATGCATTTCCTCAAAATCTGATTCAAACTCTTGGTCCTTAACATTATCCAGCGGCTTCATTTGCAGTTCATCTATCAGCTCATCATCTGTTTCCTCATGCTTCTCAGCCAATTTCCTCTGCAGAATCGCTTCTAGGATCGCCGGAAGCGCCTCCTCATCACCCTTAAAGTATTTCTCTATCCGCACTTTCAGCTCTATTAAACCAAAAGGAAAATTAGAAAGAAAATAGCAAAACTGAAATCGTTGGTATCTCTACAAATTTAAAAGGGAAATAATAAACTGAAAATAATTAGGACGCAATATAAGAAGAAGAAGAAGAAGAAAAATCCCAAATATCACTTGAAATTTTACAACTTTGCCCCCCACCCTCACACCAAAGCTGAAATCTTATTAGCCAAAACATTCAAATAGTCTCATTTCCTTTATGAACATGACGGACCGGAAACCCAAAATTCGAAAATATTAAAAATTTCAAGTTTATTTTATATCTCCTTTCATTCTCCCAGCACTCAAACAGTGGTCATTCTCTCAGTACTCAAACAGACAGAGGGTCAAGCTTGAAGGTAATTGAAAACTTGAAAAATATATAAATATATATTGGTGGGTCACCTTTGTTATTGATGTCCTGGACTTCAACGGAGGCATCTTTCTTGTTGGTTGGGATCACGCTCGAATCAGCAGACGGATTGGAGCTTTCAACGGAAGAGTCGTCTTCGGACGAGAAAAGCCTGAGTAGGGACCGAGTCGAAGCGGCGAGTGGGACGAGTGAGGAGCTAGGATTAGAGTTGCAGGTTGGAGGGGAGAGAAGGCGATTGCGAGCGTAGAGAGAGACATTATTCAATAGAGTACGTCTCATGGTTCTCTAATTCACTCTCTAGGGTTTATTAAAGGTTCAGTTTTTGGGTTTCAGAAGGGGTTTTATGCTTTGCCTGCTTCTTGTCATTTCGGGTGCTTCAAAATGTTGTCTTTTTTATTTTTTCGGTCGAACTGCAAAGGTGCGGGTTTTTATATTTTTATTTTATAATTATTTTTATATAGTTATTTTTTATTTATTAGTTTTTTGAATATTTATTAATCTATCTTTCTTCCATGATAAGTTGGTAGTGCAAATAATTACCATTCCAGAAACACAGTCTTGTATTCATCCAAATGAACCAAAAGTATTCATATAATGACTTTTTTGGATTGGGTTTTGATCATCATCTTCCAGTGTTAAGAAACATTGAAGTGAAGTTGCAGCAGCTGTGAGTAGGTGTTGGTTTGAAGTGAGATGCTGCAGCAGTAGAGCGAACAAAAAGCGCTCTCTCAGCAGTTTTACAAGTCCCGCACTCGGTTTTTATTCTTTCATCTTGAGAGAGTTGTTAAGAAACACTGAATCACTAAAACAGAGCTAATGCAATCAGAACCAGAGATGATCGCTCTCCCGAATCCAGGAGAAAAGGCCTCGTTAAAATGGCTACAAGGCAACTGTTGTAGAGGCTGTCAAAAATTGCACAAGTTGTGAATTCTACTAATCTGTTAATGGGAGTTCAGGGAGATGTTGGCCTCGCAAACATTCATTCTTTTCCTTCCTGAAAATGCAATTTTAATCCGAATACTCCCAACTGGAGGGTTCGAATCGATCATTCGCACACTACACTACTACTTCAGAAAGCATTTAAAGGATATGAATAAAGTAATCTTGGCATATACAATAAGCAAAGAGGAGGAGCACGCTAATAATTGACCCTTTTCAGTCCTCACAGTAAATCAAGAACAGATGATGGGAAGCATTCAAGTCTGCTTTTCTGAATGCACATCACACACAACAAAATGTTAAGCTTAACGTCAATGGGTTTAGTATTCTGCATTAGTAAAGCCCTTGAACTTCTTCCACCCACCCACCCACACCACATGAAGGAAACATCCACATCCACAAACACATGAACAAACACAAGATAGAAATTTAACTGCTCCTATTTGAAACTAGAGAGCTTGTTTGTTACAAGGCCTGTGACTGTGAGCTCTTCATTTCTTCTCAGAAAAGAAAGACTCCTCCAATTTACTCAAATCCTTATATAGCGTAAATGTCTGCCTTTGTTGTTTTGGCCAAATAGCGTGGATTTGGCTTTCATCACCCATCACTGTCAGAGCCTTCATCAAAATCAGATTTAGTCTCTTGTTCGTCGTCTATGTCACTCAGTGGCTCCTCCTGCCTCTTTCCGGGAATTTCTTCCATGAGCTTTTTATCATCCTCTTCATGCTTCCCCGTCAACTTCCTCTTCAAAATTGCTTCAAAGATTGATGGTATGGCCTCCTCATCCCCTCGAAAATACTTGTCAATTTGCATTTTCAGCTCTGAAACAAAACATACAAACATCACATTGCAGATTCAAAATCATAAACCCCCAAATAATCAAAATCAAACCCTCAACCCTAACAATCCCACAAATCAACAAATTCCAACTGTTTTGCAAGCCATGCCAATGCCATGAATGATGCATACTGCAAGTGATCAAAACACAAAGCAAAAAATAGCAGCTGAACTGAATCAAACAGGATGCAATTGTCATTTTTTTCCAAACCCATTTTCATAGAAAAATGCAGATAACAAGTTCTGAGCAACCAAGAAGAGCCTGTAACTGACTGAAACCCCAAATTTCTATTTCTCACAACATTTTCATACCTTCATTACTAACATCATCCTCTTGGTTGTGCGATGGAGACTCGGTCGAGTAGAAGCGAAGTCTGGGGCGAGTCGAAGCAGCGAGTGGAGCGAGTTGGGATCTAGGGCCCGGATTGTAGCAGGGAGGAGAGAGAAGACGAGTACGAGCGTAGGGACAGAGATTTCTAAGCAGAACTCGTTTCATCGTTTTTCTTCTTAGGGTTTTTGCTTATTTTGGCTCTGCGTGCGTAGGGTTTAAACGGACAAATGCTGATTTTATCGGCAGATTAAACTCTGGCCCAAATTTAGTGGGAGTGGGAGAGAAGAGTTGGGCCATAATATTGGGCTTATGCCTTTATTTTTATTTTTTTGGGGTAAAATTGGGCATATATTCCATTTTTCTCAATACAAACACCTTATTTGTAGCACGAATATTTTCCGAGTCCAGATCCTATGTCCCCCAAATGTATGCGCCCTCTCTGTTCCCCAAAAAAAATTATCAACTCTCGAGTCTTTATCACGATTAATTTAAAATAAATAAAAAGTCTATGCGATTTTTCTAGTTTAATATCTTGTAATCAATGTGGCATGAGCTCACTATCATCTATTTTAATTCACATGACAATGACATCATCTTAAAAATAAAATTGGCAATTAAGCAGGGATTGTTTAATGAATGATATGTGACATGCAAATTGGCAATTCTTCCGGAATTAGGAACAAAATGTATAGGACAATGCATGTTCATTCTCCATGCTTAATAAGCAATTGTTTATAATAATCATTCTCTTACAAGTGATTTAGATAGTTAACAATTTTTTTTCCTAATTGAACCACAATGTAAATGGTTTATATTAATTAATTAATTAATATAGATATGCGCGTAATGACCAATCAAAAAAGAAAAGCAAAGCAGTGATGTGATGTGAGGCGATGAGATGAGTGAGGAGGACTGTGCTTTTTCCTTAAAAGCCGATTACTACTTTGACAATTGACTTTTCTTTGCTTCTACTCTTGTCTTGTGCTTTTGTTTTAGTATTATTTACTTTACTATGCTCGGCAAGCAAACCCCACCGTTTTTCAATCGGGAAAAATTATATAATGCAAACATATTTAATATATATATTTTTTATTATAAAAAAAAAGGTGTTTGAATTTGGTGAATGGGAATGGTTTGCAAGCAATTACACAAATAAGTAGAAGTTCTTCGCTTAAAATATTGTACTTTTCTTAAGACAGATCGTGAAAGAGGATAGGATTGTCACAATTTTTATGTATAATCATGATTAAATGAAGACAGAAGAATGATTATCTTTCTTTTTTTTTATAATCTCCTTTGCGAATTGCAAGGAATAACTGTGAAAAGCTCAATATTGTCTGTCCCAAACCAAAGGCAAAATAATGAAAGCAAAACCTTTAACCCGTAATTTGTGGCGAAATGCTTGACAAATGGTAAGCCTCATTTCATTGCTTTTTCATTTGCAATTGTATAATCAGCACTGTTGAGTTGATGAATGCAAACAAAAATATAGACCAGGAAAATTAGACAGACAGACGCCTTGAATTGTTGTAGAATGCCAGCCAGACAATGCCAATAAAATTCAATGACCATATTGACTAATTAATTAATTTAATTAAGATATTGCAGCGACAGAGAATGAAAAATTAAAGACATTAGAGTATCCATAACAGACTCTCTAAACCACTTTATTTATAAATTATAGCTGGTAGAGTCACGGTGTGGTGTGGGCTTCTAATTCTAAGATGCCTTGGAAATTATCAAAAATAAAAAAGAGAATGGACTTAAATATTGCTTAGGGATCCCTCCACAGTCCACTCAACATTCTTTCCAATAAATAAATACAACTACATGTCTCCTGGGCAGCGATGAAAACTGTGATAAGTGATAAGTGAAGTTAAAGTAAACCCAGTTGGGAAGGGAAGTTTTGACGACCCAGAATTATAATAGAATGCTCTTTTGGGATGTAGAAAGTTGAAGGCATTACTTGATTGATTTGGTTGCTTTGCTTGCTTCCTCAGTCCCTCCTGTCAGAATGTTCTACTTGTACACTTACTTATTTTCAAGTTTGATTCAATAATACACATGTTATGTTATTGGTGTCTCTTTACTTTTGAGCCTTGAAGAAGCTGTCAACCAACCATACAATGGATGACCTCTCTACCTCTTCAGTGACACATTTCATGGAAGAGCCATTTTAAAGTACATAAAACAGCACTATAATTTACATGTAAATGCAATGGAAAGCAACAAAAAGAAACTAAAAAGAAACTAAAAAGAAAAAGAAAAAAAAAGAAAACTAAACAGAAAATTCAGTAGATTGCAGGTGTGAGTTTGGTAAATGCAGTGTTGCGTTTTTCATGTGATACGTAAGTTGAATAGACATCTGAGTCAATTTCCAGATGAAGATGACGACTAAACATCCTCATTTATAGCACATATAATAAACAAGTGAGGACTGACTGAGGAGGGTGATATTAATATATGATTATTAGTGACCATGATTATGATGATGAACTGGATGCTTGACACTGAAAATTGAAAACATCCCTTCAAGCTCAAGCTTTCAGTCAAAGCTGGGCCTTCTCTCACATGATTGCAACTATTTTGGCCTTAAAGACTAAACTCTGTGCTACATGCCAAGCCTGGATATTATTAAGAAAATATGTAATCCTTGGTGTAAAGGTGAAGTGAAGGGATGAATTTTGACCTTGTGATTTCTCAGTGGGACCCTTTCAAATGCTGGCCACAGTAACCACAGATGTGACTGACATATGTGTAGACTACATTTTCTGCTGTCTGTCTCCAAGCCTCAAACCACTGCACAAGGAGACACAGATCCATTAAAATTCAAATACTATTTCGTCTTTCGTTTTGGGTTCTATGCACAAACTGACCCGTTTTATTTTTGGGTTCTGATAAGTAAGCATCCGCAGCTGGTTCAAAAAGCAAAAGAAAAGAAAGCAAAAGTTGCAATTTACTGAGATTCCCAGAGCCTCTTTTTTTTGGTAATAGCAAGTGAGCAACCACTCCGAGTCGTAGACCTGAACGGATTTGACTCTCCCCAGGGGGTGTTTTTCACAAGGTGGGATTCGAACGCTGGACCTCACTGAGGCCAGCTAACATTCGCCCACTTGCAGGCCTAGCCAGGATATCCACTAGACCAAACCCCTTGGGTCCCAGAGCCTCTTTGTCTGCAGTGTTTGATGGCATTGGCATATACCCTCCTCAATCCAACAAGAAGACAAAAGCATAACCCACCTAACCTATCCATAAAAAGAAGCACTTCCACAATTAAAAAAAACTCATCTCTCTTTAAACAAATCCAAATTATATATATAAAAAACTAATGAAAAAGTAAAATCAAATATCTATTCTATATTCTCTCTCTCCACTAAAGTCACCCCCTCTATACCCGTCTCTAAACTTCACTCAATTTCCTTGGCATTTCATTATTCTTTCCCTCAAAACCAAAGTTACTTCGTTTCTCTCTCTAGGCACCATGCCTGTTGTCACGGAGAGCTCAACAACAGTGGCAGAGAACATCAAATGGAGAAGACCCAGAAGCCAATTCAGCCAACCCATTTCAGATACAGATCCAACTCCCTCCATTATCCAATCTACTCGATGCAAATCCACCATCTCCTCTCTCCTCCTCTCCAGCTTCACCACCAACACCAACGAAACCTTACCCACAAGCCTCAACAACAAGAAAAAGACGAACTTTTCCTCATCAACATTCAGAGGATTGGGTTGTGCAGCTTCTGCCTCACAACAAGTCTCAGTTCCAGCGGTGATTCGGAACTCCGCTGATTGGCAAGGAAAGAAGGTAAAGAAGAAAAAGCAAAAGAAGAATATCAACACCAAGAACAATACAAGCAATGACAAGAATGAATACAAGGATAAGACCCAGCACCAAGGAGCGGTTGATGGGCCTAGCTTTGGTTTAAATTCTGCAACTTGTATGGATTTTCAAGATGTTTGGTGCGGTCCTGGAATTGGGTTCTCAGCAGAAACTGCTGGTTCTGTGGATTGTGTTGTGGCTAGGAGGAATGTCTCTGGTAGAGGCAAGATTGATGGGGATAAACTGAGCAGCCACAGGGAGGTAAGTTTTGATTTTGCTATTAATATATTTGTTCAATGGCTTGGAATGCTTTGAATTAGTGCCATTTCTATGTTGCGCTTTTACTCGAAGTTTTTAATTTTATCAGTGGGATTACTAGGTTTTTGGCAGTTTCTTTGTTTGTGTGGAACATGGTTGAGGGTTTTATGGCTATTTGGTGCTTGATGAGGATATGCTGCATGGATGGTGATCATTCACGCTTCTTTTGATTGTTGGCTGAAGTTTATGTTCGTATCTGTGAACTTTGATGCATCAATTCAATACTAGGATTGTATTTAAGCCGAAAATCTTAAATTTTCTGTTTTGTTTTGTGTTTCACAGGATTATTATATCTTGAATTTTCTCTTTTGTGGGCCTTTTTAGTTTTCACTTCATTCGTTCCATAGTGCGTTTCAGTTTATGAGTGTATTGGTATTATTGGCTACTTAAATTTTGATTTCTCTGTTTGGTTTTATGATTTTTATTGGGTACTCAAAAGTTGCCTTGAATTATAGTTTTTGATTTTCTCACTAATAAGTGCACTTATTAATTTGCGTAGATACGACTCGTTATCTGCAAGTTTAGGACCCCACACGAAACAGGATATATATTAATTAGCTGTGTTAATCTTCTCAGCGTTGGTTAGGGTTGGAAATTCTATTATCTTCTCTGTTAAATGTATATGTCTTTTTATTTATTTATAAAATTTCCTATTGAATATATGACACTGAAATACGATATCAACATATTTTATCCGCTTGTATAATGTGCTCCACATTGGGTTTGTTTTAATTAACCTACTTTGTTGATCAATTTTGTTTGCAGCGTCCTTGTTTAGCAAGGCGAACTGTGAGCCCAGAAACTGTCTCGTTTCTGGATTCTGAACCTGATTTTGTCACGAGCCGCCCTGAATCAGAGGTCTTTGGAGGTAGGTGTTATCGGCATGTTCGGCATCCATCCCCTGAAGGCCTTGCAGAGGTGCTTTTTACTCTTGCTCTTGCTCACTCTGTCTCTCACTTGATATGGTTTGGTACTAAAAAATGTTTTAGTAAATAGTATGCCACTGTTCAATATAAACTCTCTGCTTTCCTAGCTTTGGTGTGGCAAGCAATATATTCAACTTGCAGCATTGATGTCTGAGG